GACATTCCGGATGTCCGCCGCCGAGCGAGGCAGCACCAGCCGCATTTGGGGGAGGGCACCTCCCCCGATCCATGGACTTGGCGACCGCACGCCAAATCCATGCATCGCTAATCTGTGTTCGCGCGCCCCCGACTCTGGTGTGGGCACACTCTGGTCCCCAGAGGGCCGAACACGGTGCAACAGCAGCGGCTGTGCGCTCGGCTTCGGAACCCCCGCGCCTAATTACCGAAAGTCGCGCACCAGAGGTCACTCTTGCCTAGGGTCACTCTTTCCAGGGAGGAAAATTCGCCCCGACCCCGGCAATTGGAGTTTGATGAACGGCCCTGGGCGTTTACTAAACAGCCCTGCCCTGTTCGATTCCTTCTTTGGGTGCGTTTACTAAACGGTGTCGCTTGTTGGTGTGCTTGCGACGGGAGGGATCTTATGTCCTCTACTTCTGCGAGTGATTCGCCGACGGATGGGGGCCAGAGGCCAGCGCCGATGCCCCCCGGAGAGGGGGGGGTCGAGGAGGAGAAGGAGGAGGAGCAGGAGAAGGAGGCGGAGGGGGATGGGGAGGCGAAGGAGGAGGAGGGGGAGGAGGAGGAGGAGGAGGAGGAGGAGGTGATGATGATGATGATGATGATGATGATGGTGATGGTGATGGTGATGGTGATGGTGGTGGTGGTCATGGTGATGGTGATGGTGATGATGAGGATGAGGATGAGGATGAGGATGGGGATGAGGATGAAGATGATGATGATGATGATGATGGTGATGCCTGATGATGATGATGATGATGATGATGATGATGATGATGATGAATGATGATGATGATGATGATGATGATGATGATGATGATGATGAATGATGATGATGATGAGGAGGAGGAGGAGGAGGAGGAGGAGGAGGAGGAGGAGGACCCCCCCCGCTCCCCGCAGGTCTCGGCGGTCCTGCTCGCGGAGTGTGACCATAGCCGCTCGGAAACCCAGGGGGCCATGTCCAGCCTCCACGGGGGACATGTCCCACCCACCCATGACCCAGGACACCCGAAACGCATCTAAAAGGCAGCAGGGCCCAGGCGCAAGGAGCAGGGCGCCTGAGGCCCAGGGGGGCACGTCGGGCCGGAGTTGGGTTGGCTACGCGTGACAGTGGCCTCTCGCCAGAGTGACCTTCGGCGCAGGCGCTCGGGGCTGAAGAGACGGGGGTCAATGAAAAGGGGGGTCGCAAACGTGGATCAAGGGGGCGTGGGTTAGCGACAGGTCCCGCTTCCATGGGACATTCCGGATGTCCGCCGCCGAGCGAGGCGGCACCGGCCGCATTTCGGGGGGGGCGTCTCCCCCGATCCATGGACTTGGCGACCGCGCGCCAAACCCATGGATCGTTCATCTGCGTTCGCGCGCCCCCGACTCTGGCGCGGGCGCGCCGGGGTCCCCAGAGGGCCGAACACGGTGCAACAGCAGCGGCTGTGCGCTCGGCTTCGGCACCCCCGCGCCTACCGAAAGTCGCGCACCAGAGGTCACTCTTGCCTAGGGTCGCTCTTTCCAGGAGGGAAAATTCGCCCCGACCCCGACAATTGGAGTTCGATGCGCGGCCCTGGGGGTTTACTAAACAGCCCTGCCCTGGTCGATTCTTTCTTTGGGTGCGTTTACTAAACGGTGTCGCTTGTTGGTGTGCTTGCGACGGGAGGGATCTTATGTCCTCTACTTCTGCGAGTGATTCGCCGACGGATGGGGGCCAGAGGCCAGCGCCGATGCCCCCCGGAAAAGGGGGGGGGGATGGGGGAAGGTCGAGGAGGAGGAGGAGGAGCAGGAGCAGGAACAGGAGCAGGAAAAGGAGGCGGGGGGGGGGGGGAGGAGGCGAAGGAGGAGGAAGAGGAGAGAAGGGAGGAGGAGGAGGAAGAGGAGGAGAAGGAGGAGGAGGAGGAGGGGAAGGGAGGAAGAGGAGGGAGGAGGATGAGGGGGAGAAGGAGGAGGAAGAGGAGGACGAGGAGGAGGAGGAGGAAGAGGAGGATGACGAGGAAAAGGAGGAGGAGGAGGAGGGGGGAGGAGGATGAGGGGGAGGACGAGAGGGAGGAGGGGGATTATGATGATGATGGTGATGATGATGATGATGGTGATGGTGATGATGATCATGATGATGAGGATGAGGATGATGATGATGATGATGATGATGATGATGATGATGATGATGATGGTGATGGTGATGGTGATGATGATGATGATGATGATGATGATGATGATGAGTGTGGTGCTGGTGATGGTGGTGATGATGATGAGGATGAGGATGAGGATGATGATGATCATGGGGATGAAAACGAGGATGAAGATGAGGATGCGGATGAAGACGAGGATAAGGATGGGGATGATGATGATGATGAGGATGAGGATGAGGATGAGGATGATGATGATGATGATGATGGATGCTGATGCTGATGCTGATGATGATGATGCTGATGATGATGATGATGATGATGATGATGATGATGATGATGATGATGCTGATGATGATGATGAGGAGGAGGAGGAGGAGGAGGGGGAGGAGGAGCAGCTGGAGGAGGAGGAGGCAAAGGAGGATGAGGTGGAGGAGGAGGAGGATGAGGAAAAAGAGGAGGAAAAGGAGGAGGAGGATGAGGTGGAGGACGAGGAGGAGGAGGAGGAGGAAGAGGAGGAGGAGGAGGAGGAGGAGGAGGAGGAGGAGGACCCCTCCCGTTCCCCGCAGGTTTCGGCGGTCCTGCTCGCGGTCGACGGCCTGGAGGCCTCTCGGACCCCCAGCGCGGGCCCAACCCCGCAACGGCGGCGACGCCGACGTCGTCGGCGACGACGTCGTTGTCGCCGGGTCTTGAAGGCGTTTCTGTAGGTCTTCGTCTTCTCCGTGTGTCGGAGGTCTTCCCAGAGGTCCAACGCATGGAACAAAAACACGCGACGGAGGTGTTTCGCAGGCTTCGGCTCCTAAGAGCCTTTACGTGGCCTCGGGACCGTCAACACAAACGATTCAGGATAAAACAAACCGGTCTCGGGGAATGGGCCGAGCCTGCCGGGGACCCCGCGTGGGAAAAGTCACGACATTGGATCTCGGGGTTGGGGGCGTGCCCGGGGGCCTCCGTCGCCACGGCTGGACGCAGTTCGGAGAGCTGGGCAGGGGGGGGGCCAGGGGTGACCCGAGGGCTGGCTTCTGTGCGGATTCGCCACCGTAGATGCTGGACGTCAGTAGGGGGCATCGATGCTCTGGGCGTTGTGTTGCTTCTGCAGTTCTGGATGCCTCTCGAGGCCTTTCAGACCGGGGCGTCGTGGGAAACTCCCCACGGGCGCTTTTCTGTCTCAGTTCGGCCCTGGGATTTTGGCGGATCGACCCATCCGCAAAACAATTTGTTTTGACGTGAGTTGTCGCGACGTGAACTATTCCGCGGCGGGCGAGGGGGGGAAATGAGAAGGAAAAGGCCTTCTCAGAAGGCGGCGGGACCTCTCAGAAGCCCTCGCGCTTTCTGAGAGGTTTTGGTCTGTGTCCGATAAGTACTTTTGTAACAGTTCGCAAAAGCCTGGGGGGCTTCCGAGCCTGCCAAATTATACTTAGCGACGTGGACTTAGTCGGAATGTGCGCGTTCGCGTGCGCTCGCATCTGGCTGCTCGCTTGTACGATTCTTCGGTGTGCGTGCATGTCTTGTCCCGTGTCCCGCTTGCCAGAGGTCGACCACGGTCGATGAGTAGTTGTGTACGTCTCGAGTTGATTGAAGTTCGAAACGGTGGGAATTTGAACACGATTCAAACACAGTTTAGGGATATCTTTTTGGGGTCCTCGTGTTGCCTTTTAAGGCTCTCTGTTGGGCATCCTGGGCCGTATGGGGGCCACATTTGTCCGCCTTGGGGCCATCATGGGCAATTTTCGAGGCATCTTGGGCAATCTCGGTTGCCCTGGTTGCCTGCCTGGGCTGTCTTGGAAGCTCGGGAGGCGGAAACACATGTTTTACGAAGGATCCCTTTGGGGGCCGTCTTGGGGCCCTCTTGGGCGGTCTTGGGCGCCTCTTGGGGCGTCTTGGGGCGCTCTTGGGCCCCAACTCCGAGGCCCCGCCATCCCAGCAGAAAATTGTGTATGTCTATCACCGAAGAGTTCAAGGCCAAATATGCAACAAATAAACAGACCATACATGTCCGGTGTGATGAATGAGTCACCTGAAATACCAGGGCTTAGTGCCAGCATTGCCAGTCAAAGCCAGACATCGGTGTCAGCATTGCCAGCCATCTGCCAGACATTGACGTCGGCATCGCCACCGTGCGGCCCAGGGCTGCCCAGGCTGCGAGCGACAGCGGCTGAAACTTTCGGTATCGGAGCCTTGTTGGTTTCCCCGTCTCCCAGAGGAGGAGGAGGAGGAGGAGGAGGAAGAGGAGGAGGAGGAGGAGGAGGAGAAGGAGGAGGGAGAGGAGGAGGAGGAGGAGGAGGAGGAGGAGGAGGAGGAGGAAGGAGAGGAGGAGAGAGGAGGAGGAGGAGGAGGAGGAGGAGGAGGAGGAGGAGGAGGAGAGAGGAGGAGAGGAGGAGGGAGGCGGAGGGAGGAGGAGGAGGACAAATGAGGAGGGGAGGAGGAGGGAGGGAGGAGGCGGAGGGAGGAGGAGGAGGAGGAGCGAGGAGGAGGAGGAGGAGGAGGAGGGAGGAGGAGGAGGACAAAAAAGGAGGAGGAGGAAGGAGGAGGAGGAGGAAAAGAGGAGGAGGAGGAGGGAAGAGGTGGAGGGAGGAGGAGGAGGAGGAGGAGGAAGGAAGAGAAGGAGGAGGAGGGAGAGGAGAAGGAGGAGAAGGAGGAGGAGGCGGGAGGAGGAGAGGAGAAGCGGAGGAGGAGAAGAAGGGAGGAGGCGGAGGAGGAGGAGGAGGAGGAGTTTTAGGAGGCGGCGGCGGGGAGGAGGAGGGGGAGGAGGAGGAGAAGGAACAGGGAGGAGGAAGGGGGAGAGGGAGTAGGGAGGAGGGAGGAGGGAGAAGGGAGGGAGGGTGGAGGGAGGGGGGGAGGGAGGGAGGGAGGGAGGGAGGGAGGGAGGGAGGGAGGAGGGAGGGAGGAGGAGGAGGAGGAGGAGGAGGAGGAGGGAGGAGGAGGAGGAGGGAGGAGGAGGAGAAGGGGGAGGAGGGAAGGAGGAGGAGGAGGAGGGGCTCACCGTCCCGGGAGCCCGAGAGCGGCCGGAAGCCTCAGGGACCCGCTCGCTGCGTGGCGAGGAAGACTCACGCCGTCGGTCGTGGAGGATGCCTCTCCCGGGAGGTCCTATTCAGCATCGGCGCTAGCATATCCGTGGTCGAACACGAGCCTAGTCTGGCGTGATCCCGCCTTTTTTCGCCCCGAGTCTCGTCTCATCGGGCTTATTTCTGGGCTGAAGCTGGCTTCCTACAGCTGAATGGCTTCCCAATCTCGGGGGCGGCCAAGGACGGGGGGGGGGCTAGGCCTTTCGTATGCGTGCGTGTGTCTGTGTTTATATATGTTTGTATGTGTGTATGTGTGTATTGTGTGTATGTGTGTATGTGTGTTTGTGTGTATGTATGTATGTATGCATGCATGCATGCATGCATGTATGTATGTATGTATGTATGTATGTATGTATGTATGTATGTATGTATGTATGTATGTATGTATGTATGTATGTATGTATATATGTACGTACGTATGTATGTATGTACGTATGTACGTATGTACGTATGTACGTACGTACGTATGCACGTATGCACGTATGTATGAATGCATGCATGCATGCATGCATGTATGCATGTATGTATGTATGTATGTATGTATGCATGTATGTATGTATGTATGTATGTATGTATGTGTGTAGGTGTGTAGGTGTGTAAGTATGTGTAATATGTAGGCATGTACGTGTGTATGTAGGTAGGTAGGTAGGTAGGTAGGTAGGTAGGTATGTACGTACGTACGTACGTATGTATGTATGTGTGTATGTATGTATGTGTGTATGTATGTATATATGTTTGTATGTATACATGGGTTACCGTATGCATATGTGTATGTATGCATGCATGCATGTATGTATGTATGCATGTATATATGCATGCATGCATGCATGCATGCATGCATGTATGTATGTATGCATGTACGTATGCATGTGCATGTGTATGTACAGGTTCGTGCTGTGTGGTATAGATGTTCGGTTTGCGTGTGTGTGTGTTGTGGTGTTGTGTGGTGTGGTGCGGTGTGTTATGGTGTGGTGTGATGCTTGTGTGTGTTTGTGTGCTTGTGCGTTTCTGCGTTTCTGCGTTTGTGTGTTTCTGCGTTTGTGTATGCTGTGCGTGTGTGTGTGTATGTGTGTTTGTGCGTTTGTGTGTGGATCTCACGACTGGCCCCCCCAAGATCTCAGGGCCCCCTCTTCGTCCATCGGTGCGTCCCCCTGGCATGCCTCGGGCCATGGCCTGCGAGCCCCCGTCCTGGACGCACCCGCTCCTCGGGCCCCCCCTGCAGCGGGGGCCCCTTGTCAAGCGACACCCTGCTCGCCTCCAGGGTGCCCTGGGTCTCTTGGACCTCGAGGGTTTTCCGATGGACAGCGTGACGTGCCCGCCCCAGAAATCAGTGGACGCCCTGGGGTCTCAGGGCTGGGCTTTCCTTGTGGGAGGCTTCTTGTGGACGGGCCTCCTCCGTCCTCGCTCTCCCTCTCTCTCTCTCTCGCCACGACCTCCCGGGAGGCTGGCGCCCGAGGCGGGCCCCCGGGGCCCGCCCCGGGCCGCCGCCCAGGGGCAGCTGAAGCAGGGCTCGTCCAGGGACGGCGCGGCCCGGGCGCCCAAGAAGGGCAAGGCCCCCGCCGCGCGGCCCGCTGCCGCGCCCCCCGCGGGCTCCCGCGAGCGGGCATGGGAGGGAGGGGGAGGGAGGGAGAGGGGAGGAGGAGGGGGGAGGAGGAGGAGGAGGAAAAAGGAGGGGGAGGAGGGGGAAGGGCCGCGCCCGAGAGGGGGGGGGATCTTTTGGTCTAGGCTTCCCAGATGGTGTCCGAGCAGATGGGGTCGGAGGGTGGCGCCGCACCGCCGCTGAATCGGCGAGGTGGCTCGATGTGGAGCCCGAGTTTCTCTCCATGCCAGCGTCGCCATTGCATCACCGACGGTGCCGGTGCATCGCCGATGCATCGGCGATGCGGCGCGATCTTCCGATCACATCTACCCCGACCGCATCTAGGAGGCCTCTCTTGGTGGGTCCATTGGCTAGGGAGGCCTACAGTCAGCCCGCACAACTAGTGAGGATTGTCGACTTTCCAAGGCTACCCTTGCATCCTCCCCCTTCGGCCCATCCTTGGCTGCTTTCGCTGGCCACGCCCTGCTCGCAAAACGTTAGCATGGCTTTCCAAGGCCCTTGCATCCCTACCGCGCACCCTTACTGTAGAGGTTGACTGCATGAGGCTGGCCTCAGCTTGGAGCTGGCAGGGGGTCTGAGGTGGCCCAGCGTTGGTCCTGGCCAGCAGGAAGATTGGGCGAAGTCGGTGTTGTTTAGGTTGAAGAGGTTTTCTGCCTTTTTCTGCCTCTGGGGGCCGTTTTCGGGCCTGGGGACCGTCAAAGACGCATCTGGTGTCGAACCTTGAACCAGATGAACCCCAGGAGGGGTCCAGAGCAAGTGTGGCACCGCGCGTGTACATCCAGCCCATCGGGGCAGCAAGCCACACCAGTGCTAACGATGAAGATGTGTGTTGACCGCCATCGATCCGTGTTCTTCGACTTCTCTCTACTCCACATCCTCTTCCTCTAGCCCCCTTCCCCCTCTTTTTCACTCCTCCCCTTCATCCCCCTCTTCTGTCCTCCCTCCTACACTACACCCTCACTCCTCCTCCTCCTCCTCCTCCTCATTCTGCATCCTCATCATTATCATTATCATCATCATCATCATCATCATCATCAGCATCAGCATCAGCATCATCATCATCATCATCGTCATCATCATCATGATCATCATCATCATGATCATCATCATCATCATCATCATCATCATCATCATCATCGTTGCCATCGTCATCGGCATCGTCCTCATCCTCCTCTTCATCATCATCATGATTGTCACGAGTGCTACCATCCTCATCAGCATAAGCATCATTATCACCAGCACCATCACAATCACGACCACGATCACAATCACACTCATCCTCATCACTGTCATCATTGCCATCATCATTAGCATCATCATCACCATCATCACCATCATCGGCATCATCATCACCAGCATCATCATTATCATCACCACCATCAGCATCCTCATCATCATCACCATCAGCATGATCATCATAATCATCAGCAGCAGGATCATCATCATCATAATCACCATCATCATCATTATCAGTATCGCCATCATCATCATCATCATCATCATCATCATCATCAGCATCATCATCATCATCAATATCGTCATCATCATCACCCATCCTCTCTTTTTCTTTTGTCTTCCTTATTTTCCCCCCTCCTCGTCCTTGCCCTACTTTCGCTCGTCTCTGATCTCATCCTCCCATCATCATTCCTCCTCCCTCCTCAGCCTTCCGTTGCTCCTTCTTCTCTCCGTTCCTCCTCCTCCTCCTCCCACTCCTCCTTCACGTTCCTCCTCCGCGCTGCGGAGGTCGCTAGCCGGCCCGTCCCCTACAGAGACGACTCGCTCGTCGTTCGTACGTTCGTTCCCTCATCATTTCTTCTTGTTGCATCCCTTATCATCCGTTCTCTGTCCCTATCTCTGGAGTTTTTCAAATTCTCGAAGACGTTGTTCATCCCGACCCCTTCAGCCAACAGTTTGAATTCCAGGGTCCATGTTCCAGAGCCGCCGATGTCTGAACTGCCCAACCTGCCTCCCTGTCTCCATCTCTCTCTTTCTGTTGTTTGTTTCTCTCGCTCTCTCTCTCTCTCTCTCTCTCTCGATATATATATATATATACACATATTTTTATATAGATACATAGATACTATGCTGGCCTCCAGCCAGTGCCGCCGATCCGGGGCGCTACAGACATTGATGATGATGATGATGATGATGATGATGATCATGATGATTATCGTGATGATGATGACGATGAGGATGATGCTGACGGTGATGATTTTGATGATTAAGATGATGATGATGATGCTGATGATGATGATGATGGTGATGGTGATGGTGATGGTGATGTTGATGCTGATGCTGATGATGCTGATGATGATGATGATGGTGGTGATGGTGATGGTGATGGTGATGGTGAGGGTGAGGGTGATGGTGATGATGATGATGATGATGATGATGATGATGATGATGATGGTGATGGTGATGGTGATGGTGATGGTGATGGTGATGGTGATGGTGATGGTGATGATGAGGAGGAGGAGGAGGAGGATGAGGATGAGGATGAGGATGATGTTTATCATGGTAATGGCCATGGGGCCATCTTTGGCGTCTTGGACCGATCGTTCTGTGATTCGGAGCTTTCTTGGGCCGTCTTGAGGGCCTCTTGGGGCCCTGTTGGCCCGGCCTGGGGCTTTTCTTGGGCTCGAGAAAGTCATGCGGGAACATTCTGGGGGCCCCAGAGGGCGCGCGGGGAGCCTCAAGAGATTTGAGAGCTTGGGGTCCGGGCCCATTAAGAATCTTCAGGCTTGAGGACTGAGGCTCAGGGGATTGAGCAAGGGACCTGGGGAAGCCTCTTGCAGGTTGTGTTGGGTCCTCTTGGGGCCTCTTTCGGGCCTCTTGCGGGCCTTCTGGGGCCTCCTGGGGGCTTCTTGGGGGCCTATGAGCCCCCCGAGCACTAAATGCGTCGGGAGTGGCGGTCCACACACACCCCCACCCCCTGCAGAGCGAAGCTTAAGCGAGCTCAAGTCCACGCTCTTAGAAACTCACACGCTGGATCGGCGGATTTCTCTTCGTCTCAGTGGACGAAATCGCCGTGGTGCCCCTGACTGTATCACTGTACATGGGATTGGACACGAACATCCTCGATACGTTCGTTCTCGGGAGGCCCACGATGACCCCTGACAATCCTTCCTCCCCCTGTTCCCTCCTCTTCCCTCCTGTGAGCACAACTTGACGTTCATGCCATCGTTCACCACCACCGCCTCTTCCCTCCTGTTCCTCCTCCTCGAGAGGGGGGAGCAGGGGAATATCATATCAAAATATCATCCGCCTCCGAGGACGATCGACGACGATGGCGACGGCGACGACGACGACGGCGACGACGACGTCGATTACGACGACGACCCCCTGAACCTGTCCCGAGGCGAGTTCCGACCGGACCCAGCCGTGGTCACCCCCAGGACGCCACCCAGAGGCCCAAAAGGGACCCAAACCTCGAACTTCGATCGATCGGTCCTTGTTCGACCGACGACGTCGACAACGAGGACGACGACGACGACGACGACGACGACGACGACGACGACGACGACGGGAGGCCTCCAGTTGGGGGCGTCCAGCAGGTTGGGGGGGTAGATCAAGGCCGGGGCCATGAGATCTCCTAGGTCTCGGGGCTCAAGAGACGGGGGTCAATGCAAGCGGGGGTCAGTCAGAGCGCCGGATCTTGCAGAATCCTGCAGAGCCAGGGGTGCATTGACCCAGGTTTGGGCGCAGGATCCTGCAGGATCCTGCAAAGCCTGAATGACCTAGGGGCTGGATTGACCCGGGCCAGTAGATCCCCGAAGATCTCGCGTCCCTCCCTGCTTCTTTCGGCGCGTCTCCGCCCCCCTCGCCCCCCCGTCCGCGCTTACGCTTCGGGCCATCCTGCTCTGGCAGCCCCTCTCTCCGACGCCCCCCTCTGCACGCCCTCGGCTCCTGCGACGAGGGTGGCGGCGACCGCGGCGGCGGCGATGACGGCGGCGCCGACGGTGTCGGCAGCGGCGGCGGCCGCTCCCGTCCGCGAGCAGGCGGCCGCCGGGCCTCCGGCCGGGGGCAGCGCGGCAAGGCCGCTGAGCAGCGAGCAGATCCTCGAGGCGCCTCCGCCGCGGCGGGCTTTTCTTCTTGCTCGGCAGCCTCGCCGCTCGTGTGCCCAGGACGTCTCGGGCCTCCCCCCCCCTCCTCCTCATCCTCCTCCTCCTCCTTCTCCCCCCACTCGGTGGAGCAGCTTGGGTGCTGCTAGAAGTACCCCTGGCCCAAGGTTCTGGGCCTCCCAGATGGGGTCCGAGCAGATGGGGTCGGAGGATCGCGCCGCATCGGCGATGCTCGGCGATCGGCGATGCATCGGCGATGCATCGGCGATGCGGCTCGGTGTGGGGCCCAGTTTGCTTCACGTCGACGTCGCCGATGCATCGCCGACGTCGACGATGCATCGCCGGTGCATCACCGATGCATCGCCGATGCATCGGCGATGCCGCGCGATCCTCCGACCCCATCTGCTCGGACCCCATCACGGAGGCCTCTGAAGGTACCCCCCCCGGGATTCTCGGGCAGGCGGCCTCCAGTGCACTCCTCGCCAGGCCCCACGGGGCCCCACGGGTGCCCCACAGGGGGCGTTCGAGGCGCCGGCGCCGCGGCGGGATTTTTTCGGACCTCCTCCTCCTCCTCCGAAGAACAAAAAACGCCAGAAACACAAACTTGTGGCGCTCCGCGCGGAGTTCTTGGATGCGCGCTGGGGTCCCCCTTGGCGGCGACTCCTCCGGCGCCGCCCATGGCGCGCTCTCCGGAGATCTGCGCGGAGCGCCGACAGTGTATGTTTATGCCGTTTGCTTCTTCTATTGTGATCTCGGGACGTCTCGGGCTTCCCTTCTCCGTGGAATGATACAACACGACATGAGCACAGATGTTCGGAGGTCCGCGCGGAGCTCTCGGGCCGTAGGCGGGCTAACGGCGATGTAGGTTTCGGCAGTGTGGGAACGCGTGGCTCGCGTTTTTTTTTTTTCAGTTCGCTGTGTCGTGCTCGCTCGATCCATGCGCACATTGGAAACGTAGGAAAGTGTGGTTCGTGTCCTCCCACACTTTGATCCCCAATATCGCCGTTAGCCCGACCCCTCCTTTTGGGGAGCTCCTCGCTATGTTCTGGCCCCATCTTTCCATCCTCTGAAACCTGGTCGGGAGGCGTCCGGGGGAGCCCCAGCAAACTACACAACGTGAACTCTGGGGATCTATCTAAAGGATCTGGGGTTGGCGACTGTTGAATTCGTGCTGGTCTGGGAAGGGGGTGGCAATTCAGTGGAACAGTCTGTGGAGTCGCGCCCTCGTTTCACCTTTCCGATCTTCGCAGCGTTTACCGAACGTTTGTTTTTGTTGCCGGATGTGTGCTGAGGGTCAGGTTGTTTGTTGACGTTCTTGGAATCGGGGGTGGACAGACCTCCTACCCTAACACGTCGATTAAGGAATTGGCCGTTTTCGGTTCGCGAGAGAGCATCGCGGCCGTCATTTCTGCGGGTCCAGGTCCGTCGGTTTCGGTCCCAGGCCGTTTTCACGAAGGGGAGGTTTACTAAAGCTGCTGCATGCCAAGGTTTCGGCGCCCCCTTCCCCCTGGATGCTTTCCCTCCGCTGCCCATTTTTTTGCCGAGAGGCGCCTCTGGGGTGCCCTCGGGCAGCCCGCCTCTGGGGTGGAGGTGGGATGGGGAAGCTTCCTCTTCCGCCTACAGGTACATCGGGCTTGTCCCTCTACAGGAGGACAATCCAAAAATAGTCAAAAAATAGTCTCGGGACGCGTTTCGAATATTTGTTGCGTTCTTTTGAATATGTTTGGACGTTTTTTTGTTTCTTAAAAAGAGATTCGCTCAAGATCTGCCCGACCTAAGCCTATAGTCAACCTGCACAGTAAGGAGGGGCAGCCTTCCCAAGAGCACCCCTGCACCCGTGCCTCCTCGGCCCATCCTCGGCCACTTTCGTCGACCGCGCCCCGCTCGAAGAGCTTCGACATGGGCGTCCAAGGCCCTTGCATCCTCATCGCGCGTCCTTACGATGCGGGCCCGCTGCACCCCGTCCCTCCCGCTGGCCGGAGGCGGCAGGCGTCGACGCCGTCCTCGCCGTCGCTCGAGGCTCCAGGTTCGAGGCTCGCCCTCGTCGTTGTCGAGGCTTCTGGGCTCCCCTGTCGCCGCGCGACTCCAGACGCGCGGCCCCGTCGGCGTCGGCCGCGCGCGCGCGCGGTCTGGCAGGGCCCGCCTCTTGGGCCCCCCCCCCCGGCACTGGAGACCCAGGCTGTGCACAGGACCCAGGGAGGAGGAGGAGGAGGAGGAGGAGGAGGAGGAGGAGGAGGAGGAGGAGGAGAGAGGAGGAGGGATGAGGGAAGAGAAGAGAAGGAGAGGAGGAGGAGGAGGAAGGAGAGGGAGAGGAGGAGGAGGAGGGAGAGGAGAGGGAGGATGAGGAGGAGAGGAGGAAGAGGGAGAGGAGAGGGAGGAGGGAGAGGAGAGAGGTGGAGAGGGAGGAGGAAAGGAAAAGGAGATGGAAGAGGAAGGAGGGAGGAGGAGGAGGAGGAGGAGAGGGAGTGGAGAGGGAGGAGGAGAGGAGGAGTTAGGAGGAGGAGGGAGGAGAGAGAGGAAGGAGGTGAGGAAGAGGAGGAGAGGAGGAGAGGAGGAGAGGGAGGAGAGAGAGGAGGAGAGTGGAGAGGAGGAAGGAGGAGAGAAGAGGAGAGAGGAAGAGGAGAGGAGGAGGAGAGAGGAGGAGGGAGAGAGAGGAGGAGGAGAGGAGGGGGGGAGGAGAGGGAGAAGAGGAGAGAGAGAGGAGAGAGGAGGAGGAGAGGAGGAAGAGGCGAGGGGAGGAGGGTAAGGGGTAGGAGGAGGAGGAGAGGAGGAACAGGAGAGAGAGGAGAGAGGGGAGAAGAGAGGAAAGAGGAGGAGGAGAGAGAAGGAGGGAGGAAGAGGAGAGGATGAGAGACTAGAAATGTAGAGAGGAAACATAGAAGAGAGAGGAATCTTAATAGAGAGAGGAGAGACTAGAGAGGAGCTGAAGGAGGGAGGTGGAGCTAGAGGAGCTAGAGAGGAGGAGACTTGTAGAAGAAGGGAGGAGAGGAGAGGCTAGAGGAGGAGGAGGAGAGGAGGAGGAAGCTAATGGAAGGAGGAGGAGAGGAGGAGGAGGAGGAGGAGTGAGGAAGGAAGGAGGAGTGGAGGAGGAGGAGGAGGAGGAGGATGAGGAGGTGGAGGAGGAGGAGGAGGAGGAGAAGAGGTCTGTTGGGGGCGCCCGGGGTCAGGTCGGGCGTGTCCTCCTGCAGGCGGGTTCTGGAAGGACGCTAAACCACAGGCAAGAAGTACCCCTAAGACAGTCAATCATAATTTGATGAAGCCTCGTCCCCATGTTACCTTTGCTTGACTAGGTTTGAAGGTTCCTCCTGCAGCGGGACGTGCCCGACTTACGTCCAAGGGCAGGAAGACCAGGTGACCGCAGAAGTTCTTTCCTGCTGCCCCATCCCCCCTCAGCTCTCGGCTGGCAATGCTCGTCCTCCCTCCCCTCGTCCCTCCCCTCCTCGCCCGCCTCCTCGCGCTCCCCTCCTCGCCCTCCCCCTCGTACTCCCTCTCCTCGTCCTTCCCCTCGCCCTCCTCGCCATCCTCCTCGTGCTGCCCTCCTCGCCCTCCCCCTCGTCCTCCCTCTCCTCGTCCTTCTCCTCCTCGCCCTCCGTCCACTCCGCGCCTTTCCGCCGCGGGAGGGGGATCTTTTCAGAGTATCGTGTTCGGTCCCAGTCCGTACAATCCCGCGCAAGGGGTGATCGGTTTCCAGTGCGGCATGCAGGTTTACTCAAGACCGTGGGGGCTAACCGACTAAGGGCCCAGGTGGCCCAGCACCGGTCCTGGCCAGCGGAAGGTGGGGAGAAAGGGGCCCCCTCGCCACCACGGCGGAGCGCGGCTCGACGAAGATTGCCAGTCTCGACCATGGGAGGGGTCTGGAGTCCGATTTTGAGCGAATTTGTTTGCGCCCCCCCTCTTGACCGATTTTCGCTGGGCGTATCCAGCTCTGGCCCCAGGGCCGCCTCGAAACGATGGAGGTGTGCAGATATGGCCAGTGCCATGAGATCAGGGGCGGCCTCACCGACCCCTAGCACACCACCTTCCGTGACGTCCTCCTCGCCTCGCCTCAAGACGTATGTATGCGGCTGGAGGGGAGCTCCAGAGACGAGGAGGACGTCACGGAAGGGAATGCTTTGCCTGGCGGTCGGCAAGGCCGCGCCCGATGAGATCTCCCCGATGTTATGGCCCCCTCCTTCGGTAGCAAATCGTGGGAACCTGGTATATCCTCTTAATTCCGTCTTTGGCGTTGCTTAGCGTCGAGTAGCGTCTGAGAGAGGATGAGACAGCGCCGATTTAGCGTCGGCTAGCGTCGATTGGCCTCGACTTAGCGTCGATCAGCGCCGATTTAGCGTCGACCAGCCAGCGTCGGTTCGCAAGAGCTGACCAGATGGTATGGGAGGCTCCCATGAGTCTACCAGTTTGAAACATATCCCTATCCATGTGTTTGGCATCACCTCACCTCGATGTCGATCTTAGAGATTCCCTCAGCTGCTGAGGGCACATCCCTAAGATTGTCCTCGCTCTTTGCTCGCCCATCGAAGGGATAGCGATCCGTCCGAGGTCCCCAGGAGTTGCCCAAACAATTGTCTCTCAGCACCTTCCTTGGCCCCCCTTCGTCCGCGCGCGTGCCTCGGCTCATGATGCTGACCCCCCCCCTCTTATCGGGGAAGCATAAAAATACTCGAGTGCGCCAGCACTCGGTGCCGCCAGCGCTTTTTGGCGAGCGGGTTCTGGATATTTTGACGGTCCAGTGTTCGTGGGATGTTTGCGGCGGGAGCTCGCGTGAAGTCTCAATTGGGTCGGTCGGTTCGCCAGTTCATTGACTGGCCGGCTGGCTGGCTGGCAGCACCAGTGGACCGATATCAGGACGCTTCGCAAAGACCAGGACCCGTGTAATTAAGAGGTAAGGGTGGGATCAAATGCCATTGGCAACCATTGGTGAGACCAATGTGGCAGCCAGAGGGAATACACAAACACTTTCTGAATCCGAGTGGTACACCCTGTTGCAAGAGGGGGGAGTCAGGATATCTGGGTTAGTGACCATGTGGGATCCCCGTCGATGAAAAGCCACATTATTCTTGAACACCCTACACAGGGAATGAAGCAGCATATGCCAGATACCCTGCCATGCGAACCCTTGTAGCAGGCAGGAACGAGAAGCAAATCTCCCTCAGAACACTCTTGAGCACCCTTGTGGCACGTAGTGAGAAGAGACACATCTCCTTGATCATCCGAGCGAGAGACCTCGTGGCAGGCAGGGGAACATACAGCCGCACCCGTCAGAGCTGTTGCTCTGACCCGTGTGGTAATTGCAGTCTGGGGGTGGGATACACAGATGTCTGTTTAGAATTCTTGTGGCCCCTTTCCGTGGCAAGCAAGGCAGGAACACCTTAAAGCAGGCAGGGCGAAATACCCGAATTCCCATTGGAGTCTCTTCTCGAGCCCGTACGGCAGGCAATGGGGGAAAAAACGATCTCCTTAGGACCCGCCCGAGAACCCCTGTGGCAAGCGGGCAGGGTCTAAACCGATCTCGCGTATGACCCATGTGAGAACCCGTTGTGGCAGGAAGCGGGAAATTAACACATGTCATTTGGACACCTTGCGTGAGCCTCTCCAGCATCCAAGCGGGGAATACCCAGTTCTGCGGTGGCACCCCTGCGACAATCCTGTGTCGGGGGGACAAGCTATTCTTCTTGCGAACCCTTGTGACAACCCTGGCATGCAGGGATAGGGGTAAACCAATCTCGCGTGGAGCCTGCGTGATAATCCCTGCGGCAGACAGTGGGCATTGTACGTATTTCAGTTGGACCCCTGTTCGAACCCCTGCGACCCCATATCACTGTAATGGGTAACAGGCGAACGAGCGGTATGGACGAGCACCACCAGTATCCCTTGGCTACCCGCTTCTTTCCCCTCCTCCCCCTGCCCGTGATGCCCATGCTCTTCCCGCCCCTCCGATTTCACGGCAAACGATGGGTCAAGTCCTGCATCTGCCACTTGGGGTCAAGGTCCTCCAGGACACCTCGGATCTAATCATCTTGCTCTCGTTTCCCCTCCCTGCCCCATCCCTCCCCTGCCCCCTCACTCGAGGGCATCATGCAGGGTCAGGGTGCCGATCCTGTGACGATATCCCGAGCGAAGCCGCCGGTGTGGGAATGGCCCGGTGATAGAACAGTTCCCCGCCTTCCCCGGAAGCACGGCCCTGGAGCGTGGTTGCCGGCCCCATCTCTCACGGCGCCAACGTCGCAGAGCGGGTTTCCAAGGGCGCCCTCGAGGGCGCGAAGTTATTCGCGCTTCGCGGTTCGGCTCCGATCCCTTATCCTCTTCTTCCTTGGGGGGGCGGCGCGAGAGCGCGAAGTTTATTCGCATTTCGCGCTTCGCGCAGCGCGAAGCGCGAAGTTGGGAGCCCTTGATTTCGTTCGGAAAACACTGGGATGGGCCTGGAGTGTCCTGGAGAGTGTCGTTCCGGATTTCGAGGTGAATTTGGCCAGGAATGAAGATCGGGTTGACCCAAAAGGGGGTCCAGCGACAAGGGGGTGGTGCAAGAGATTCGGTGCAATACGTAGATTTGTGTAGTTGCAATACATTCGGGGCGTCCGGGGCGCAAATGTAGTGCTGGATTTTCGCGTGCAATACACTTTTTGCAATACAATGCCATAACATTCTCCTGCGCAATACATTTGCAATACAATTGCCCCAAATCTATTGCACCACCCCCTTTTCAGCTGGACCCCCTTTTGGGGCACCCAAAGAAGACTAGACAAACATCCACGCGAAATTCACTTTTGCATTGGCAGAACTCCACGCACAAATCCGCTGCAGCACGTCTGCAAGGTCGGTACAGTGACATCTCCCCGCTGGCCAGGGGTCAGGACATGACGTGAGTTCACGAGACGAGCTCCCTCAAGCTCGAAGCCCCCGACACTTTCGGAGCAGTCCGAGGCCCCCCCCTCCCCTGCCCTCACGAAAGGCCGCCCCCCTTGATCCCCAGCAGCCCCCGACCAGAGTCCACCCCAGACCCGCCCCCTCGGGGGGATGAGAAGCGATACCAACACCACCAAAGGGCCCCCCTCCAGCGAGGAGGTCCACGATGCGCCTCCCCGAGCTGGAGGCCGGGGATGTCTCGAGCGAGAGGGGGGGGGGACCACACCTCCGGGGAGACGCCCCTTTGCCTCCTCGCATCTCCTCGCCCTGGTGCTGGTGCCGCCTCTCCTTGCTCCCACCCACAGCCCCCAGGCCTCATCTTCTGGGCTCCCGGGCGCCGCCCTCGCCCCACGGGGGCCACGGCGCCTCCTCCTCCTCCTTCTCCTCCTCCTCCTCCTCCTCCTCCTCCTCCTCCTCCTCCTTCCCTCCTCCTCCTCCTCCTCCTCCTCCTCCTCCTCCTCATCCTTCCTGTCCCCTCCCGTCCTCCCCAAGACCCCCCTCCCCCCCAGGCATCAGACCTCACCCATGCCGCGGGTGGGGTGGGGCGTCTGCAACGGGTTCGCTTCGCGTCCCCCCGGAGTCCCAGTGGTACTCCCGCGCCCTCTGCTTGGGTCGATCTCGAAACTTCACTGGAGGAAAAAGGTACCCATACCGCTACCCCTCGCCTTGTGATGTCCCAACCTGCTTCACCTTTGATCACCAAACAGGACTTCGCGCACCAAGAAAGTGCCGCAACTTGAGGGTTTTCACGTGTCGGGCCCTGGGAGGCGATACTCCACATTGTTTCGGTACTTCTTCTGCGTGCTCGAAATTATTTTTGGGATGTGGTCCTTGAGTACGATGGGAGCAACATAACCCATACGGCTACCCCTCGCCTGTCTTCCCCTTCTTGGGCCTCCTGGGAGGCCCTCGTCGCCACCGCTGGAGTCGCCTCGCAATTCTGACCAGAACAGGAGAGGTCCGGGGAGTAGCGGTATATCGGTACCGTTTGGTCTCCCCCCAAACTCGGGCCCCTCCTCACCTCGAGGCGGACTCCCCCCCTCTCGCGAGCGCCGCGCGTGGCGCGACGAGGGCCCCCAGAGGCGCCCAGGAGGACCCCGCAGACTTGGAGGAGCGGCCTTCCAGCGGCGCGGGCTCCACGAATCCCCGGCGGCGCGGCGCCTGCGATCAAGGGGGGGGGAAAACCACCCAGACCCGATATTTGGCGTTTGCCAGACGGCCTTGGGCGTTTACGAAACATCCCTCCCCTGTTCGATTCCTTCTGGGGGTGCGTTTGCGAAACGGCTTTGCTGGTGGGGGTGGTCCGTATTTTGGGGGGGGGATGTTCTGCCCTCATTGCGAGGTGTCGGCGCAGGTCGTCGATGACCTCGACGAGATCAAGCGGCAGGTGGAGTGCGCCCAGAAGGCGCCCTGACGCCTCGATGCGGCGCTGCGCGGCTGCGCGCCGCAGCTCCTCCTCGCAGCTCCTCGCCGCCTCCCCTCCCCCCCCTCAGAGGAGGAACAAGTACCCATCCCTCTACCCTCTCCTCGTTTTCCCCCATTTGGGGCCTCCTGGGCCTCCCTCGTCGCCACCGCTGGAGTCGCCTCGAAACCCTGGTCAGAAACGCACCCCAGGAGAGGTCTGGGGAGTAGCGGTATCGGTACCTCTTGGTCTCCCCCCCCCACCCCCGTTTCGTTTTCGCCCCTCCCCTGCTCGGGTCGGACGAAGGGTGAAGTCGGGCCTGTCTCTCTACAGGGGGGATATTCAAACATCGTACGGGGACGTTTTTTTTGTAGTTGTGTTGTTTGGGGGGGGCAATCTTTGAACACTCTTGACGGAATATGTGCATTTTTCGTCGAAAGTCGGCCTGTAGGGGGGGACATGCCTGACCTACACGAAGGGGGGGGAAGGGGAAATATCGGGGAAGGGGGGGAACGAAACCTGCTGCACGCCGCTGGCTCCGGCCCCGCCGCTGGGCGGCTGCCTCGATGCACGGGCGCGCCTCCTCCTCCTCCTCCTCCTCCTCCTCCTCCTCCTCCTCCTCCTCCTCCTCCTCCTCCTCCTCCTCCTCCTCCTCCTCCTCCCATGGGACATCGCGGATTCCCGCCGCTGAACGAGGCGGCGCCGGCCGCATTTTTGGGGAGGGCACGGCCCCTGATATGGATTTGGCGACCGCGCGCCAAATCCATGGATCGCTAATCTATGTTTGCGCGCCCCCGAGCATAGTCAGGATGGCCAACCTTCCCAAGGGTACCCTGGCGTCCTTTGCCTCCTCGGCCCATCCTTGGCCGCTTTCGCTGGCCGCGCCCCGCCCGCAAAGTGCCGGCGTGGCCCTCCAAGGCCCTTGCGTCCTTATCGCGCATCCTTATTCGGGGGAGCAAGTAATGACATAAACATAACAACTCGGAGGTCGTCGTATTCTTATTCATTCTTTTGCCGATCGGCGCGGGCCCTCGCATCCCCCCCCTCCCCCCCCCATGGAGTAGATCTTGGCTGTTTTTGGCGCCTGTTTCGAGCAGGTGGAGTCTCCCCCACAGGACACACTTTTTGCAAACAGTCGCAGTAAGCAGAGGTCCAGAGCCAGCCCCCCCCCCTCCTCCCCTTTCCGCCCAATGCCGGAACGCCGAATCAGAAAACGCTCATGAGGTCCGCGCGAATACCCCGTATCGGCGCTGGACCCCGGTCGCGGGCGCATCGCGGGCGAGGACGACGACAGTAATTCAACAGCGCGTCGCAACAATCCGCACCGCGGAGCCCTTCTTCAGCCACGCACCCGGGGACAGTGAGCGACCGTTCGGCCCCCCTTCGGAGCGGCTTATGCGCCCCTCACGGCTTGGCCAGGGAGGCGCTTGCACCGCTCCCAGGATGGGGTCCGGCCAGCGGCGGAGGATGTGTAGAGACTTCGTCGCCCTACAGTTCAGTCGGGCCTGTCCTCCTACAGGGGGATTGTCGACGAAAAATACAAAAACATACCCTTTAAAAAGTCCAGAAATAGTCTTGCGACTATGTTTTGAGTATCTTTTGATTATTTTGGGGTGTTTTCGGCGTACTTTTTTTGTTTTTCGTCGAAAATCCCTCTGTGGGGGGACACGCCCGACATAACCCTACAGTGGCCCTGCGCAATCGGGCTTAATCGCCCTGGATAATTCTTGCGAAGGCCTCCCAGGAGTTGCTCCCCGACGCCCTGTCGGTGACCCGCAGAGGGGGCGCGCGCTAGAGCCCGCGGGCCCTGTCCGCCTTCACCCCTCGTCGTCGGCGGCATCGTCGTCGTCGCCGACGTCGCCGCCGTCATCGTCGTTGCCGTCACCGTCGTCGTCACAGTCGCCGTCGCCGTCGCCGTCAGCGTCGCCCTCGCCGTCGCCCTCGCCGTCGTCGTCGTCGTCGTCGTCGTCGTCGTCGTCGTCGTCGTCGTCGGCGCCGTCGCCGTCGCCGTCGCCGTCGCCGTCGCCGTCGCCGTCGCCGTCGTCGTCGTCGTCGTCGTCGTCGTCGTCGTCGTCGTCTTCGTCGTCACCGTTGCCGTCACCGTTGCCGTCACCGTTGCCGTCGCCGTCGTCGTCGTCGTCGTACCCCCCCCCTGAGCAGCGCAAGAAAGGTGCAGCTGTCCCTGGAGCAGACCGCGCGCGGGGCGCCCCATGCTACCGCCGCGCCCACCCCCTCCCTCCTTGGAGCTGCCTCGGCGCGGCGCTGGCGACTCGGGTACCGATGCCGCTGCCCTCCCCAAGCCTCTGCAAACGGGGCGGTAGTTAAGGGGCCTCTTCAAGCGAGAACGAGGCGACAGGGCATTCACCTGGCAGTGGTGCGTGATACATCGGGATGACAAAAACGTCGATGCATCGTTCGCACTTGTGCGCGACAACTCTGTTTTTTTTTTGAAAACACAATTGAAAACTCACCCTCAGCTACCGGCCCGTTTACTGACGCCCCGTTTGCAGGGGCATGGTCCCCTCGTTCTCGCCCCTTTTCTCGGCATCGCTCGGACATGTACATGTTACAGTGGGGGCCCATGGTGCCCTGGGTTTCTTGGGTTTCGATGGTTTTGTAATGGAAAGCGCGACGATCCCACACCAAAATCCATGGACGTCCTGGGGTCTCAGGGTTGGCTTTCTTGTGGAAGGTTTCTTGTGGTCGGGCCCCCATTGTATTCTCGGCGAGGGCTCTCGAGGAGCATTTCTGTATCGACGGAACATGCACGGGGAAGGGACGCCCGAGGGACGGCAAGTTTTACGTCGGGCACGTCCCTCTACAGGGGGATATTCACAAACAGTAAAAAATAGTATGGCGGCGATGTTTCTATCATTTTCCAACATGATGTTTGAGTATTTGTTTGAGTATTTCCTGTTTTTTCTTCCAACATCCGCCTGTAGGGGGACATGCACGACCTAAGTCAAGTTTTGAGCTACCTGGAAGGCCCTCGTCACCACCGCTGGATACGCCTCGGAATTCTGGCTAGAACCACCTCCAGGAGAGGTCTGGGGAGCAGCGGTATTTTGTACCTCTTGGTTTCTCCACATGCGCGCTCGAGGCAGGGCAGGCCATCTCAGATGGCAGCGGGGCTCCTCAGAAACCCTTCGGCCTTCTAAGAAGCCGTCTCTGTCTTCGGCCAAGGCTCAGAAACCTTCTCAGAAGGCGCGATGGCTTCTGAGAAGCCCCGCCGCCTCCTGAGAAGGCCCGCCCCCTCTCACTTTCCCCTTGGGCTTGCCGCCGAGGGGGGGCAAGAGACTTGTTTGGTCCCTATGGCGATTATCTATGTCTCCCAGATGGGGTCGGAGGATCCCGTCTCATCGCCGATGCATCGCCTATGTCGGCGATGCGGCTCGATGTGGAGCCCAATCCTCTCCACGCGGACGTCGACGCTGCATCGCCGATGCATCCGCGATGCGGCGGGCTCCTCCGACACCATCTACTCCGACCCCATCTGGGAGGCCTCTAGCTAACGGGAGGGACCAGGGTACAGTCGGGGCCCTGAAGAAGGAACCCTTTTCGTTGTGGAGGGGCTCCGTGTTCCTTAATTGTTCCACAGTTTGCCTAAGGTTTTCCTTATGTGTTCGATGGTGAATCGAAGTTCAACTGATGGGAAAAAGGGGCCTCGTTCCTTATTTAGGGTTCCTTAGGTCAACGCCCCGACTGTAGGGGGGGAAGGGGCCGTTCACGTCGCGGTCCGCGCCGGCGCCGCTTGGGGATCCAGAGGGATGGCTAGTCCCCAGACGGCGCTGGCGCCCAGGTGGGGAGGCCACTCGGGGCGGGGCGGGGCTACTCACGGACGCCGTCGCGGATGATATGACAATTGCCCCCAAGGATTACGCTCGAGAGGCAACCAACATCATGAGCATGAATTTCTGCTGTCGTGGCTCCGCGCGTTTTCTGTTGTCGGCGGTGGCGGGCAACTGTCGTTACCTTGGGCCAATCCCCCGTGACGGGCAGCGGTACCGATCGCACGTGGGGGGGAGGGTGCGCGCGCCGGGGTTGGCAGGAACGCTGGCTGTCGCTGCTGCTTCTGGCGAACCTGAGCCAGGAGGGAAAGAAACACACAGACACGACTACTCGTCGATTCCCCAGAAAATGCGGAAACTATGGAAAGTGGGGGGGAAAACAGAAACCCAGAACATATGGGAAAATATTGGGAATCTTTTTATTTGTGTGTATTTATTTGTGTGCCCTTGGGCCCCTTCACTGAGATAGAGAGAGCGCCTTGCCGCCCGATCCGAGGATCCGGCCCTGCACAGGGCGGCACGGCGGGGCCTGGGCAACCTTCGCTTCACGATGCTCTAACCACCAAGAAAGTACCAAAACTTTAGGGTTTTCTCGTGTCGGGCCCTGGGAGGCGACACTCGTTCAACACTGTATCGACACTTTTCCGGGTGCTCGAAATTATTTCTGGGATGTGGTTCTTAAGTACGATGGGAGCAACGTAACCTTCGCTACGTCGGGGGCAGCGCCGCTGAATTCGCCGCCCTGGGGTTTTCCACCACCGCCACAACCATAGAATGCAGGGGGAGGGGCCCCCCTCCTCCTCCTCCTCCTCCTCCTCCTCCTCCTCCTCCTCCCTCCTCCTCCTCTCCTCCTCCTCCTCCTCCCTTCTCTTCCTCCCCCCCTCACCTCCCTCGTCCTTCCTCCTCCCTCTCTCCTCTCCTTCTCCGCCTCCTTCTTCCTCCTCCGCCTCCGCCTCCGCTCCTCCTCCTCCTCCTCCTCCTCCTCCTCCTCCTCCTCCTCCTCCTCCTCCTCCTCCTCCTCCTCCTCCTCCCTCTCCTAGATAATTGGTCCAGCACCTGCTCGTCAAAGCGGGGGGCGGGGGTCGGACCCCCACATGCTGGTGCGCGCGCGTGCATACTGTGGAGCTCGCAGCGCGCCCCTGGCCCCGACGTGCACCGCCACGCCCATGCGCTCATTACCAGGAGGGAGAACAAAACACAGACACAATGAGTCGTCGATTCCCCGGAAAATTATCCCGGCAAAGCAACCTGACAGCGATGTGTAGGAGCATATCTTGAAGCATTCCCCTTACGATTCAGATGAGAATCCAGTTGTAGAATTCTGCTGTTCTCGCAGTCGTAGTCGCATTCGCGATGACAGTCGCAGTGGCAACGGCAGTCACAGTCACAGCCTCAGCCTCAGCCTGCCTCAGCCTCAGCCTCAGCCTGCCTCAGCCTCAGCCTGCCTCAGCCTCAGCCTCAGCCTGCTTCAGCCTAGCCTCAGTCTGCCTTCAGCCTCGGCCTCAGCCTCAGCCTGCCTCAGCCTCAGCCTGCATCAGCCTCAGCCTCAGCCTCAGCCTGCCTCAGCATCAGCCTGCCTCAGCCTCAGCCTCAGCCTGCCTCAGCCTCAGCCTCAGCCTGCTTCAGCCTCAGCCTCAGTCTGCCTTCAGCCTCGGCCTCAGCCTCAGCCTGCCTCAGCCTCAGCCTGCCTCAGCCTCAGCATCAGCCTGCCTCAGCATTCAAAATGTGGCCCGGGAATGGAGTTCTGGGAACTAGAAGAACACGAAGTGGCCTACAGTTGGCTCCGGGCATTCAAAATCATGCCCAGGAATGGAGTTCTGGGAACTCGAAGAGCACGAAGTGGCCTACAGTTGGCTCCGGGCATCCAAAATGTGGCCCGGGAATGGAGTTCTGGGAACTCGAAGACCACGAAGTGGCCTACAGTTGGCTCCGGGCGTCCAAAATGTGGCCCGGGAATGGAGTTCTGGGAAGTCGAAGAGCACGAAGTGGCCTACAGTTGGCTCCGGGCATTCAAAGTGTGGCCCGGGAATGGAGTTCTGGGAGCGCCAAGAGCGATTTTGCGAGGATGTCCCAAGCGATTTCGGCTTCGGCGGCAGCCGCCCCGGGTCCCGCCCAGACCCCCCTGAGGAGTCATGATGCTCTCTTTTGACACCACTAGAAACCTATTAGTCTTCGCTGTTAGGTAAAGATGGGAACATGAGCGGAGTGGGGGGGAGAGAAAAGCCCACAGAATATGGGAAGGTATGGGGAATCCTGTTTTTTGTGTCTATGTATTCGTGTGTCCCAGGGCCCCTTCAAATTACCATGACCCGCTCCTCTCACCCTGGGTACCGGGTAGCGCCCGCTATGGGTAATAATGACCAATTGGTTCCAAGGAAGGCATGAGGTGACCAGTTGGGGGACATCATGGTCGTAGCCATAGAATCTCCCCTGGTGTCATGGCCCTCGTCTTCTTCTTCTTCTTCTTCTTCTTCGTCTTATTATTCTTCTTATTATTATTATGATTATTAGGATTCTTATTATTATTCTTATTATTCTTCTCCTTTCGACGCGCCCCCTGCCACCCCCGCCGCGTCTGCGCACACGCCTCGGGCCAGGATGTGCGACCCCCCCCCCCGTTGGGCGCCCCCCCCTCCTGGACGCCCCCGCCGTCTGGGAGCCTTGCGGCGTGCGGCTGGCGCCGGGGTCGGAGGCCCCGGAGGCTTGTTGTGAGGGGGACGCGCAGGGGCAGGCTGAGGAGGAGGAGGAGGAGGAAGAAAGGGGGAGGGAGGAGGACGAGGACGAGGAGGAAGAGGAAGAGACGAGGAGGAAGAGAGGAAGAGGAGGAGGAGGAGGAACAGGAGGAGGAGGAGGAAGAAAGGGGGAGGGGCAGGGGGAGGAGGTGGAGGAGGAGGGCGAGGAGGACCTAGGCGCGTGCGGCTGCGAGGCCGCCCCCCGACGCCGGCGTGGGGGCAGGCCGCCCGGGCACCTCTGGCGGCGGGGCGGCGGCGCTCCCCGGCGCGGCGGGGGCCAGCGGGGCCCCTGTTTACCAGCCTGGAGCATATCCCTGTCCCTATGCTCCTCCTCCGCCTCCTCCTCCGCCTCCTCCTCCTCCTCCGCCTCCTCCTCCTCCTCCTCCTCCTCCGCGGCGGCTCTGCAGATGCCTCCAGGTCTCCGGAGCTCTCCCGAGGCCGTCGGAGGGCCAACAGCTGGCTCACACGGCCACGAGCTGCCGGGAGCTTCGGCACTCGATCCCCGAGTCTCCCCCCTTTTACCAGCCTGGAACATATCCCTGTCCCTATGCTGGGCACCTCCTCATCACGATGCCAATCTCAGGGATCCCCTCATTTCTTTTGAGGGCGAACCCCTGAGATTGGCATCGCCTTTTTGGCGTGTCAACCTTAGGGATCGGGAGGCGCTCGAGGCGGGGCCCTTGTGGCCCCCCGGCGCCGTCCCCGGGGAGGTGCGGCGGGCCGCCTCGAGAGGCCAGGGCGGCGCGCGGGAGGGTGGCCCCCCGCGGGCGGTGGCCTGCGGGTGCCGTGTGGCCCTCGGGGCCCCAGGAGCTCAGCCCTCAGTCTCTAGGTCTCCTAGATGGGGTCGGAGTAGGTGGGGTCGGAGGATCGCGCCGCATCGCCGATGCATCAGCGATGCATCAGCGATGCGGCTCGATGTGGGGCCCAAGTTTTTCCACGCCAACGTCGCCGAGGCATCGCCGACGTCACCAGTGCATGTCCGATGTATCGGCGATGCGGCGCGATCCTCCGACCCCATCTACTCCGACCCCATCTAGGAGGCCTCTACAGTCGCGCGTGCCCCTCTACGGGAGGAAAGTCAAACATAGCCAAGCAACAGTCTGGGGACGATTTGTTTTGACCGTCGTTGGCCATGTTTGAGTATTGGTTGACTCTCTTTAATCTTTCTGGCAAAATCCGCCTGCAGGGGGACACGCCCGACCTAAGCTTAGCACGCGAATTTGCATCGCCCACGCCGCAGAGCGGCGCGAGAGTCCGACATGTTTTTTTGGTTGTTGTTGTCACGTGCTGCATACAGCTTGTGTTGTGGAGGGCGATCAACGGAGAGGCAGCGTGTAGCCAAACAGCTTCCGGTTGTCAACGAATAGGGTTCGGAATCCGTCGGGCACGTGGCGAACTCTGCACCCTGCCCGGCCCCGCAGCGATGCAGGAACATCGATGTTTGGTGGAAGGGTGGGCTCGGGATGTCGCCACATGTAGCGCGAGAGACTCGGCTACGCACCAGAGTGACCCTTCGGTGCGAGCCCGCAGGGGTCGCTCCGGCACGGACCTGCGCGCTTGGAGTATGGCCCCTCCCCCCCCGCTCCCCCCCCCGTGGACTCGAAATATGGATTTATTTAACGGCTATGTGTTCTTACGTTGTTCAGTGCAACAAAGCAGACGTGTGCGATCAGGTTGAGTAGAAAAACCGTTTCATGTACGACGACAACCAGTAAGGACGTACGCGCTCAAGTTGCGAAAGCGCAGTGATACCTGCATCGCAGATGCTGGGCGCTTGCGGATAGTATTTACGTTTGAGGGCAGCAGGGCCTGGTCTACTGATTCGTTCGCTGCTACTTCATGTTCATGCGGGGCACGAAATGAAAAACAGGTGCCTCTGTTAAAATAAATTACGGAAATTGAGCCAGTATAGCATGCTCTGCAAACGTATGCGACTGGTCATCATGGCATTTCGATAAAAAAGCCTATGAATAGGTTTTCCAACTTCGCGGCCGTGGCAATGCACAAAACATGTCGTTGAGCTTGCCACGTGACGTTCCTATAAAAGGCCTGCAGCTGCTTGTGGAACGCTTCGTTGCGAGTCGTTCCAAATATCACTTCATAGTTTGCGCTGTTGGTGACGTGCTTGCAAAAGTTCTGGGTGTATCCCAACTCCTGCGCCGTCGCTACGTGTTCCAAACTGCTAAGCACCGTCGCAGGTTTTGATGTTTTGCGTTGCGTCACGTTGGGGTGCGTCGCGCAAACCGCCGCCAAGTCCTGAGCGAAATCGGACATGAGGTCGTACGGCTTCTCCGCGTATCTGCTTCCGTTTTGGATGCGATCGCACAGGCGCCTCGCATCTGACGGCCTCATAGCAGCGATTGCGGCCGCCATTTTGGAAGACTCCGAGCGACCATCATTACACTGGGAATGAGGAGATCTACCAAATTCCCCGAGGCGGCGTTTAGCAATGCATCTACGTACGCTGGAAGAGAAAACCGTCGTCCTCTCATTGGACGCCCGCTCGACCTTGAGGGCCGTGGGGAACGCGGCGCGAGACTGGCTGCGCTGATCCAGTGTCGAAGGGAAGTCGGAGCAAACCATCTGCACCTTCTCCGCGTCTTCCTTGCGCGCGGGATTCCGACGAGCGCGCGCCTGCTGGACGGGGTCCTCCGACTTGGAACCGAACATCTCGAATACGCTGTCGTTGCATTGGACAGTGATGATAACGCACAATGGAACGCGATCTCGCCTTGCGACTGCATCCTGCTACTGTCCATGCGGAACCTGCATGGGAACTTGGCACAACACAGACATGAGTGACTGGTAGAACCCGCCCACGCCCAAGACGCGGACGTCGCATGCCGCGCGGCACCGTTCCACGGCGCGCCGAACATTGATGTTGTTGGCGATTTTCTCGTTTACCGTATGGTAGAACGCCTTCCCAGTGGGGAACAAATGCGATATGTCGCCAGATTGGGCAATGAGAAACGAAAGCATCCGCTGCGTAGCCCCCTTCTGTGCCAAGCGATCCGGAAGTTCATATTTGCGTGCTCCGGCCCGCCCAAAAGTCTGACACAAAATGGTCAGATTGTTTCCTTTTTTCTTCATAGTCTCAAAAAGCTCACGCGAGCAGCGGTAAGCGTTAGCAGTGTCCCCTTGTCAATATGTCCCAATTGTTTTTTTTTCGGCTCCGTATCAATGAATTTTTCTTGTAATCGATTTCAAATGGATTCCTTCTGTCGCGGATTACAAGTCGATTTTTTCTGCGGTGGATTACAAAAGGATGTCTTTGTGGCGGATTACAAATGGATTCCTTTTGTGGCGGGTTACAATTTGTTTTATTTTGTGGTGGATTGCAGATTAATTGTTTTTGCGGCGGATTACACATTGATTCCTTCTGTGGCGGATTACAGAGGGATCCCTTTTCGTGGCGGATCACAAATGGATTTCTCTTGTAGGAACTACAACGGGATTCCATTTGTGGCTGGTTACAAATGAATTCCTAGTGTGGCAGATTTCAAAAGGATTTCTCCTGTGGCGAATTACAAAGTGATTTTTTTGGCAAGCCAAGCTGGTAGCGACCCAGGTCCCACAAGAAAAAGAAATAGTAAACCTGAAATCGTTGAAAATTGGAAAAAATGCGATTCTCAATCGTTTGGAGGTTTGGGACCAAAAACATATAGAACCGCAGCATGTCCTATCTCTTGGAAGCCAAAACCATATAAAACACAGCGCTATCATACACCAGGTCTCCAAACTTCTTTTTGTTTATATGGTATGGGTCCCCAGGAGGTAGGACATAATGTGCTTTTATGCGCTGTTGGTCGCAAACTCCAAAAACGATTGGGAGTCGTATAATTTCACATGTTTCACAAATGTCTAGTTTTTTTTTTTCTGTTGGAACCTGGGTCACTACCAGCTGGGCCTCATTTTAACCCTCCACAAAAGGGGTCCTATTGTAATCCTCCACGAAAAGGATCGAATTGTAATCTTTACACATGGAATCGTATTGTACTCCCTACAAAAGAAATCCAGTTGTAACCCGTCACGAAAGAATCCATTTGTAATCCACCTCATGAGGAATTTATGTGCAGTCCGCCACAAAACGAATAAATGTGTAATGTGCCACAAAAAGGAATCAATCTGTAATCCGCCACACAAAGAATCCATGTGTAATCCACCACAGAAGGGATCCTCACCACCCAACGCTATCGCAAGAAGAAGACTACAAAGTTGCAAGCAAAGCAAAACGCATGAAAGGGAAAAACCGAAAACAACACATCGTTAAACATAGCCAGATTTTGACCTTACCCCCCCCCCCGACCGCGCACGCACCAAAGGCCACCCTCTCGCTGGCAAGGTTCGCATCCATACCCAGTGCGTTGTTTGACCATGTCGGAAGGGGCGCCATAAGGCCGAGGTGCACCAGATGTGGATCAGACTCGAGCCCCTAGGGTTACGTCGGGCATGTCCTTCTACAGGAGGAATATTCAAGAATGGTCGAACATTGGTCGGGTGACGAGTTTGAGTGGTGTTTTGGTTATTCTTGATTATTGCTTGACTGTTTGTTTTTTCTTCCCAAAATCCGCTTGTAGGGGGGCATGCCCAACCTAACCCTCGGGGCCAGCCTCGGGAAGGGATGCCGAAAACCCGAGAATCCCAAGCTGCAGCGGATATGGGCACAGGTCTTGCCCGCATCGTTACCCCATGCTTGCAAGGGGCGCCGCAAGGCCGAGGCGCACGGGAGATGGACAAAGTCGAGCCCCTGGCCGGCCTGCGGAGGGGAGGCCGAACTCCCCGATGCTGCAGCGGATGTGGGCAGAAGTCCTGCCCGCACCCTTGCCTGCGGGTCTCTCCTGCGTGCCGCCGAGGGGGCGGCGCGGGCGCGGCTTCGGGCGAGCGGTTGCGGTGCGGCGCCGCCGGGAGGCGCACGGCGGCGCCGCCGCGGTCCAGGCGGCGGACCTGGAGGACGGGCTCGCCGAGGCGGCACGGGAGGCGCGCCAGCCCTCGCCGAGCGCGCTCCTCCAGGCCTCTGGGATGGGGTCGGAGAGGGGGTCGGAGGCTCGCGCCACAGCGCCGATGCATCGCCGCTGCGGTCTGATGCGGCGCCCGGTCTGCTCGCGGGCGCATCGCCGGCGCAGTGCCGATGCGTCGCCGATGCATCTCCGACGCATCGGCGATGCGGCGCCATCATCCGACCCCATCTTTTCCTTTCCCGGCCAGACCTAGGAGGCATCGAGCTCAATTGCTCGCAGAGTTCCTCTCCACCTGCAAGCGTCAGAAGAAAAAAAACAGAGCCTGCCTCGATGTCGTGGATCGTTCAATCCCCCCGCGGCGGATCCGGGCCATTTGCGGGCGGCTTCCCTGCGAGTCGTGCCGCGCGCTCGTCGAGGGCCCGCGGCCTGCCCCCACTCCTCGGAGGAGGGCGAGTGGGGACAAGGGCCTTGTGGCCTTCGGGGAGCCCCGTCGTCGCTGCGGCTGGCCCCCGGGCTCGGGGAGCAGGCGCGTCGGGGCCCCGGGAGGGGTCCGGGGACCGGCTCGGAGCTGCCGTCGTCCCAACTCGCCTTGCCTCGAACTTCTGGAGAACGGAAACCAGCATCCGTTCCCGTCCAATTTTGAGCAGGGCTCGCTGTCGGTGTCGCCGCGGACGCTGCCCATCTGAGACAGAAGGTCGCCTGCTCGATAGCGGCCGGTGTCGGTGTTGCACAGCATGTGCTGTGGGGCACCGTTCTCAGGTTTTTCCCCTGCAGATTGCGGGTGTGCCTAGTACTGATTATTGAGCCGTGCTGCAGCCAGGACCAGTTATGAGGATGCAGTGTTCCATCGAGGCAGCCCTCAACATCCTTGCCATTTTGGCCCATCCTCCATGGGCGTTGGGGAAGCTGGGGCTTTTGGGCCTGACGCCGACGAATGGCTTCAGCAATCGAAGCGCAAAAATGTATGCCAGCGTGGACCCCAAACAGTTACGCCCTGCACTGTGGATGTGCAAGCTATGTGGTACAAGTTTTGTTGTGCAAGCTATGTGGCGAAACACCGCCGCCCCCCTGCCTGTTGGACACGCCCAGGAGTCCAAATGTTTGGCCGATGTCTGGCCACGTCATTGGACTATGTGTTCCCCCAGCCGTTGTGTAACCCAGCGAGGGAGCACTGGGGAGAGGAAGAGAAAGGAGGAGGAGAGAGAGGAGAAGGAGGAGGAAGAAGAGGAGGCCTCTCGGGGTCCTCTTGAGGCGGAGACCGTTCGAATACGGCCCAAGATGGCTTCACTACGGCCCAAGAGGCCCCAAAGAAGCGCCCCACTTGCGATCTGAAATGGCGATCTCGCTAGGGACATCATCACTAATTTGTGATGTTCTCGACATCGTCTTGGTACCGCTTTCAGAAGGCTGCCAGGCGGCCCAACAGAGCCCAACAAGACGGCCCAAGAGGGTCTCAAGGTGGCCCAACGACCCCAATGTGGCTTCCGAGAAGTCCCAAAACGGTCCAAGATTGCCTCCACTAGCACGCCCTCTTGCGAGTCGAAAGTTGTGATTTGTTTACAGACATCGTCAAGATGCCAATACCGTCTTGCCATCGATTTGGGACGGCCTGATGATGGCCCGACGGAGGCCAACAAGACAGCCTAAGAAGACCCCAAGACGGCCCACGATGGCCCCACCATGTATCTTCGAGAGGGCCTAAGCCGATCCAAGATTGCTGCTAGGACGGCTCAAAAAGGTGCAGGAGGCCCCGTGGTGGTCCACTAGCGTTCCAAGACGGCCCACGATGGCCTCGATGCGTTCCAAGAAGCCCCGAGAGGGTTCCAAGAGTGCCTCCAAGATGGTTTCAAGAGGCAACTATCAAACACATCCCATAGAGTGGAGGTCCATGCCAAGAAACACCATTCTTGCCTCCAGGGTGCCCTGGGTTTCTTGGGTTTCGATGGTGTTGCCATGAAAAGCGTGACGTTCCCACCCCAAAAATTGATGGACGTCCTGGGGTCACAGGGTTGAGTGTATTGTGAATGTGTCTTGTGGATTGGCCTCCACTGTAGTTTTTGGAACGAGTTCAGCGTTCTCGCAGTGTCAAGCATCGCGCAGAGACATGCAAAGACGGCTCACGCGGCCGCTGAGGTTGCTACCAGGCGGCCCAGGAGGCTCCCCAGACGTGCTCCAAGATGGATCAAGAGGGCCCGAAGACGGCCCCGAGCACACGGCCCAAGAGGGCCCTTCGATTCCCCAAGGATGGGACTGGAACGAGGGGATCCCCTACGAGTGGGGCTGGGCTGCACGGGTGTGGGGGCCGGGCTGGCCCCAAGACTGCCCGGGAGGGCAGAGCCCCAACACGGCCCCAGGGGAGCCCCAAGAGGGCCCCGAGCGGCTCCGAAGAGGGCACGAAGAGGCCGTGTGGGGACTGGGCTGCTTGGGCGTGGGGGCCGGGCTGGCCCCAAGACGGCCCAAGGGTCCCAAAGCGGCCCTGGGATTCCCCTACGAATGGGGCGAGGGCGAGGGGAAGAGAGGACACACGAGGAAGCGGCACGGACGAGCCAGCGCCTCTGTGCCATCACAACGCATGACGGAAAGCGCGCGTAACGTGCGTTCCGTTTGTGGGAAGAAATGAGTTTGAGGGATGCCGACGGGGGTGGCATTGCCAGTCCCAGGTTGAATACGCCCCAGGTCAAGTTCGTGTAAGTTCCGCTAAGTTCGCGTAAGCTTCTCGTGCACTTTGCGTCAGCGCGTAAGCTCCAAGCCGACTACCTCGGCTCACAAGATGTTGGCAGGTGAGTGGCGCCGACAGCTCAACCATTGTTTGTCACACCGCAAACACAAAATTTGGCAGGAGCGCAGTGCGACAAATTATCATGCAGCAGTACTACATGACTCTCTCGAGTCTGCGATTGGAGCACCGTCCGGACATACAGATTGTTTGAGTCTTGGCATTGGGCCGTTGACCACGGACGTTCCCCATGACGATGGTACGTTTGGTGTGCTTGATTCGGCTCTCGTGCTGGGGATCAAGACATACGTACTTGAAGCAAACGAATTCCCCATCTAGATCAGGGCGTTGTTATGTTTGACGCGCCTGAGATTATTCGCGTCGGCGAGATGGCAGAACTTGTAGAGGGCAATCCGCGAACGATCAAACGTATTGTGAACTCATCTACGCTCAACCGGGTGTTCGCCAAGATTTTCTCTTCAGATTGGCACATGTTCTGTGAACAGTTTAGTCGTTGGACTTTGTTGTGCGAGCAGTGGTTGACGCGGATGAGTTGGATTTTTGTTATGTTTGCGACGAAATGGTCGGCAAATACAGATTTGTAGAATTTGCATGGCGTTGGCACTCAGGCGATCGCAGAATTTTGTTTTCCCTTGCGTCGAACCTCGGGTCTGCCACTTTCGCATCGAGCAATGCACGGAAGGTGTGCGTGAGCAGTATGCAAAGTTGGTCATGCTAGATGTTTGCCCAGAGATGTTTGATTATAGTGTTTGTTTAATGCCACCGGTCGGATGCGTGGTGTTGGTCAATTGGTGTCGAGGAGAAACACCATTATATTCTTCTCCGTCAAGTCTCAGATTCCAGAACAGATGAATAAGCGCAAGTTGCAATCATTTCTGCGTCGTTCAATTTTTGCAAAGGACAAGTCTCTCGATGGAAAGCGCGCCGTGAAATTGTACGCAGAAACAGCTGAGATGACACGTCCCATGCCCAAGTCCAGAGGTGGCAAAGGCGCGCCCTGAACCGATGCCGCACAAGTGGACGGAGCGCGTTCTTTGGTCGCTTGGAGGAGGGGGGCGGTTGGAACCGGACCCCCCCCCCCTCCGTCTCCTCTGTCCTTTTCCTCGGGCCGGCGTGGTAGTGGCGGTGGTGGTGGTGGTGGTGAGGTGGTTTGTGGAGGTTGTGGTGGTGGTGGGTTGTGCTGCTGGTAGTAGTGGTGGTGGTTGTGGCGGCGGTGGTAGTGGTGTGGTAGACTGCTGCGGTGGTCGTAGTTGTTGAGGGTTGTTGTATTGGTGGTGGTGGTGGTGGTGGTGAGCTGTTGTGGTGGTGGTGGTGGCTGCGGTGGTGGTGGTTGTGTGGTGGTTCGGTGGTGGTGATGGTAGGTTGAGGTGGTGATGGTGGTCGTCGTGGTGGTGGCGGTGCTGGAGATGGTGGCGTGGTGGTTTGTGGTTGTGGTGGTGGTGGTGGGCTGTGGTGTTGGTGGTGGTGGTGCTGCTGCTGGTAGTGGTGCTGGTGGTGGTGGGTGGTGGGAGGTGGGTTGTGGTTGGTTGGTGGTGGGTGGTGGGTGGTGGTGATGGTGGTGGTGGTGATGGTGTAGTGGTTTGTGGTGGTTGTGTTGGTGGTGGGTTGTGGTGATGGTGGTGGTGGTGGTGGCGGTGGTGGTGATGCTGATGGTGGTGGTTGTGGTGGGTTGTTATGGGTTGCGGTGGTGGTTATGGTGGTGGCGTTTTTGGTGGTGGCGGTAATGAGGTGGTTTGTGGTGATGGTGATGGTTGTGGTGGTGGTGGTGGGTTTTGGTGGTTGTGGTGGTGGTTGTGGTGGTGGCAGTGGTGGTGGTGGTGGTGGTTGTATGGTGGTCTGTGGTGTTGGTGGTGGATGTGTGGCATTCGGCTCTTCCCGCCACTGTGGTTTTGTTTTGGGTCACAATTCGAATGGATGCCTCTTGAGGTCTCGTCAGAAGGGTCTCGGGGGCGTCTGAGGAGCATGCGAAGGCTCGATATGGCGATTTGTGTGTTCCCTCTGCGGCCGCTGGGGCCCTCTCTGGTCATCGTCGCTGCGTCCCCGCCGTCGGCGCTGCTGGCCGCCGCCAGCGCCGGCGCCCGCGCCAGCGCGGGGAGGGCGGGGGGGTTGAACCCCCCACCCCCTCCTGGGCTCTCTCTGGTCATCGTCGCTGCGTTAGCGCTGCGGCGACCGCCAGCGCCGGCGCCGCTCTGAAAGTAGATAGATGTCCGTCACCGTGCTAAGCGGTGACGGAAAGAGCGAGGTACGAGCGATGACGTTTTGGGGGGGCAAAGCCTAGGGGGGAAACATAGTTCTAATCGCCCTCCCGGTCCCCAAGACGGCCCCAGGGGCGCCCAAGACGGCCCAAGATACCCCCGAGAAGGCCCAAGAGAGGCCCTACAGAGGCCCTCAGCGGCGCCAAGACGGTCCAAGAGCGCTCCACGAGAGCCCAAGACCGCCCAAGAGGGTTCCAGGATGGCTTAAGATGGTGTCAAGACGGTCCGAAAGGGCCCCAAGATGGCCCCAGATGTCTTGCAGAGAACATCCGAGAGGGCCTGCAGAGGCCGAGACCGGTGCTGTTGTTTCTTTGTCGGGAGGTTTTTTGGAGCCTCGCGCCTTTTCGGGCGTCTGAGGGCCCAGCACGGCCCAAGACCCCTCGAGATCGCCCCGAGGCGCCCCAAGAGGGCTCCCAGACAGGCACGAAGAGGGCTTCGAGACGGACGAAGATACCCTCTGGAGGGTCCCAAGTGAGCGTTGAAGATAAGAATAAGAAGAATAATCCACATAATAATGATAGTGCGACTAATAATAGCATTAAATACTAAGAATAGGACCTAGGAGGAGGAAGAAGACGAATCATAAGAAGAAGACAAAGAAGAGGGCCATGGGAGGCCGCCACTGGGACCAAAAGAGGGGCGCCGAGGGGGGGGGCAACACGCGGTCCCGGCTCCCACGGCAGAGGCCCCCGGGACGGCCCGAGAGCCTCCCCAGCGGACTCCCCAGACGATCCGAGGAGTCGATCACGCCAGAGAAAAATAGTGGGCTTTTTTCCACCACCACCACCAGAAGTAGGAGGGGGAGGTGGGCCTCCTCCTCCTCCTCCTCCTCTGCCTCCTCCTCCTCCACCACCTCCTCCTCCCCTCCAACTTCTGGTGGTGGCGGTGGTGGAAAACAGGCCCATCGAAAAACCCCAATCCGCGGATGGTTTGAAATGGGCTCGATAGAGAGATCGATAAGATGATCAACCGGGAACCCGGGAACCCGGAACCCATCGAGATCGGACCAGAACCAATGACCAGGAACCCGGGAACCCAGAACCAGGAATCCGGGATCTCAGCCGGCCACCAAAATCGGCGGGATTTGTTTCGCGAAATCCTTCAATTCCCGCCAGGACCTTTTCATGCAAGCACTCCCCCAGACGGTCCGAGGAGTCAACAAAAAGCTTTCATGCGTGCATTCGGTTTCCATTGTGTTTTGGGTGCTCGCTTTTTTTTGCACAGGTCGGCCGAAGACGGCTCCGAGGGCCCCCGTGGCTGCCGCAAGACGGCCGAGGAAGCTCCCCAGAAGGGCCCCTGACGGCCCAAGAGGCCCCCATGACGGCCGCCCTCTCAGGAAAGCCTCGGAGTGCCGTAGAAGGACCCAGAGAGAACCCCAATGAGCCTCAAAAGGGCCCCAAGCCGATTGGAGCTGCCCAAGAATGCCCGGGAGGCCCCGATGACGGCCCACGAGCCTCCCAGGGGACCCTCGAGGCGGCCTGAGGTGGGGGGGCCTAAAACCTTGGGCGAGCCGACAGAGTTGGACAGGGAGAGGATGGCACGACCTCCGAAGGCGATCGAGGGAGATTTCGTCGTGATCGGTGAGGTGATCGAGGGAGACAGGAGGAGTGGTCGAGGGAGGTCGAGAGCCATCGACAGGGAGACGTGATCCAGGGAGGCCGAGGGCGGTCGGGAGAGGCCTGGGAGGAGACCACGGAGGGGGGGAAGCGAGGACAGGAAAGGGAGCTATTCAGCGGCAGCGATAGAGGGTGATAGGCACAGGGGGGACGCATCGACCCCAATCGCCCATTGATCGCCGATAGGGGCCCGATAGCCCCAACCTGCCCAGGATCGCGCGGATTCACAATCGGGGGCCTGTCCCCGATTTATTGGCGATGCATCGCCGATTACAGGTCGATGTTCCCCCCCTATGCCCATCCCCCCCTCATCGTGGCCCCCTGGCTATTCGGGACGATGCGGGGATGAGCCGCACGATCGAACACCCGAGCCGGCCCGGCCCGTCCTCGGCGGCCTGCAGCGCCAATGCGACGAAGGGCGCGGCCCGGGCCTTTTGCCCCTCTGCACGGGCTCGCTGCTTGGCATCGCTTGGACGTGGGTGTGCATATTTCACGGCGAGTACCATCGAGGAGCATCCCAGAACAAAAGAGAGAGAAAACACAGACCAAGACATGCACGCGGAAAGGGCGTCCGATCGGCGGCAGGGCTGGAGCACACAGTGCACAGTGGCGGATGCCTCCAGGGGTGGGAGAAGGGGGGGAGGGGGTGAGGGGGGGCGCATTGGCCGGTGTGCCCACTGGCGGCGGCATCGGTGATGTGGGGTTGCCGTTCTGGCAAGGCCCGACGCCGTCGCTTCTTCTCGATGCTTGGGGCTGCTTCTGATGGTATGCAGCCGGACCGAGGTATAAGATCGAGGTCGGATCGTGTAGGGTACCCTAATTAATGTTTTTCGCGTGGGTGTTCTCGTGCATGCTGGGGCGGATATCCTTGGATGTTGTGTGTTTTGGCCGACAGAGCGTCTCATGGTCTTGAGGGATGTTCTTCTGGCCTAGGTCCGACGGCATACCGGCGCCCGCCCTCCTTTTCTCTATTGTGAAGGCATTGCGGCCTTTGCCGCCATGCTTGGAAGAGGAGTCGCATGTGCGCAACGGGCCGTATGAGGCACTGACAGTGGGACGCTGAGTACTCAGCGTCACGTTGAGCACTCTGGATAAACAGGATCTCACCCACCAAGACGAACAGTTTCAGATCCCCTCCAGACCAGCCATGAAAGGGCGGTCTTTTGTCCAGACCCACTGGGAACCTCCACAAGACAGCTGAGAGCAGCCCCCCTCCAAAATCAGACCACCCCCCTTTCACTGCGAACTCCGGGGCAGAAGGCGGAAGAGGAGGAGGAGGAGGAGGAGGAGGAGCGGGAGAAGGAGGAGGAGGAGGAGGAGGAGAAGGAGTAGGAGGAGGAGGAGGAAGATGTGGACTGACGCTGCAATTTATGTGGATTGAAGCCGAGCAACCCTTACCTTCGGCTCCCACGCCTCGTGGCTTCTGGCGGCCTTGCCGGCGAGCCTCGTGGGGAGGGGCGGCCGCGCGAGGTGGAGTGGATCCGGGAGCACAGCGCCTCATGGGTCCGGGCGCCCACGCCGTCGCCCCGTACGCTCGGACGGACTGGGCTCTTCCCGGAACCACCTTCATCATCATCATCATTATCATCATCATCATCATCATCATCATCATCATCATCATCATCATGCTCATGCTCATGCTCATGCTCATGCTCATGCTCATACTTATCATCTTCATACTCATACGCATATCCGTACTCATAACCATGGAGACGATCATACTCTTCATCATCAGCATCATCAGCAGCATCAGCACCAGCTTCATTACCAACATCGACATCATCGTCAGCATAATCATCAGCAGCAGCATCATGAGTACCATCATCATACTCATCATTCATCATCATCATCAGCAGCATCATCATCATCATCAGCAGCAGGAGCATCAGCATCAGCATCAACATCAGCAGCATAATCGTCATACATCATTACCATCACCAACATTATCGTCATCATCAGCAGCATCATCGTCATCATCATCATCAGTATTATTATCACTATCATGATTGTCACCATCCATCGTAAGCATCATCATCATCAACAACATCATCATCATCATCATCATCATCATCATCATCATCGTCATCATCATCATCATCATCATCATCATCATCAGCATTATCGTCATCATCAGCAGCATCATCGTCATCATCATCATCAGTATTATTATCACTATCATGATTGTCACCATCCATCGTAAGCATCATCATCATCAACAACATCATCATCATCATCATCATCATCATCATCATCATCGTCATCATCATCATCATCATCATCGTTATCATCATCAGCATCAGCATCAGGGTCACCATTCGCATCTGCATCATTATCCTCATCATCAACGTCGTCGTCGCCATCATCGTCCGCATCCTCAGCACCATTGTTATCAAAGTCATCATACGTCATCATCATCGGAACCATCATCTGTCTTAGCATCATTGGTATCATTATCATTATCATTATCAGTGCCATGTTTCGTCGTTGCCATGATCAGTGCCACCGCTATCCTTATCATCATCATTATCAGTGCCAGCTTTATCCTTACCCCAGGATCTGGGCGGCCCCCACGAGGGCCCGGCGGCCCCCAGGGGGCTCCCAGGTGGAGCGCACAGCTGGTTGCACCCCTGGGCCAGGGTTAAGTCGGGCCTGTCCCCCTACAGGGGGATTTTCGACGAAAACTATAAGATACCCCAGAAACAGTCCCGAAATAATCCAACAATAGTCTGGGGACTATTTTTGAGTATTGTTTGGCTTTTTGGGTTTTTTTGTTTGTTTGTTTTTTTCGTCGAAAATCCCCTCGTAGGGGGACACGCCCGACAGAAGGCCAGGGGCCCCGATCTTCCCGACCCCCCCCGCCAAGCCTTCCCCCAAAGAGGAAGAGGAAGAAGAAGAAGAAGTAAATAATTGCAGAGCTCCGCGCGGATCTTCGCGGGCGGCAGAGAGGGGGGCGGTGACGAGGGGGGGGGAATATCATGGCGGGGGCCACGAGATCTCCCCAGTTTTCGTGGCGCCTCTTCTTATTTCCATACGTCCCTGGCCCCCCCACCCTGGGCCGCGCACATGCCGCCGGCCCTGATTTGCGCCCCCCCTCTTGGACGACCCCCCTTGGCCTCCCCCGCGAGGTTTCTCGTATCTGCGCTGGGTCCCCTGGCGGCGCCTCCCTCGCGGCCCCTGGCGCGTTCCGCGGGGGGGCCCAGCGCGGACTTCCGGGAAGTCCGCGCGGACCTCCGACAGTTTACGCGCATGCCGCTTTCTGTCCGTGCACTCCTCCCCGCAAGCTCCGTCCGCCTTCTCCTGGGCAGTATGACCCCCAGACGCTCCAGTTCCGGATCCGGTTCCGGTTCCGGCCAGGGATCATGCCTCGTCCCCATCCCTCTCACGTGCCGGTTCTGGTTCCAGTTGCCCGTTCCGGTTCCGGTGCCGGTTCCGGATAGGGATCATCCCTCATCCCCATCGATCCTGTCGCGACAAGTGCCGGATTCCAGTTCCGGTGTCCCGTTCCTGTTCCGGATCAACCCTATCCCTCCCACCTGGGGTTCTTACTGCTCCTGGGACCACCTCCGCACCCCCGCCCGTCCTCGCCCGTCTCCTCCCCTGCTGCCCGTCTCGTCTCCCTCCTCAGGGCACCATGTTGTGATTGCGGGCGAACTCCAGCAAAGGCCTCGTCCGCTAAGTCGCCCGCGGGGCGGCGAAGGTAATCGCATTGCGCGCATCGCGTTCTGGTCCAGATCGGCTGCCCTTCTCCAAGGGGGCGGCGCGAGGTCGCGAAGATCATCGCGCGGCGCGATGCGCTAGATCCTTATCGAGATGAGGATTAGCAGTAGGACTAGGAAAAGGAGGAGGAAGAGGAAGAGGAGGAGGAGGAGGAAGAGGCGGAGGAGGAGGAGGAAGAAGAGCATCAGGAGGCGCATCCTCCCCGCTCCTCCCCCTCCCTCCTCCTCGGAGCGCTCCAGGGGCCCGTTTTGATCGCAATGTCGAATGGTATCGAGCAGGCGTGGCGACGAGAGGTGCACTGTAGGCCATCCAACGACAATAATGAACCTGGCGCGACCCCAATCTGGGGAAACTGTCCTGCTGCATGGGCGCAGTGTTTTGCATTGCTTGGCACTGATTCGCGCGCATTGCCTCGCATATGCCAGGCAATGGACGACGCGGGGAACCTGGGGAGCCGGGGGGAGCCCCCGAGCAGCGGGCAAGACAAGAATGGGAGGCACCAGGGGCGGGGAGCCCAGGGAGCCCCCGCGCAACGGGCACGGTAACCTTCCCGGGCACCAGTGTTTCACGAACCACGGCAAGGTTTCCCGTAGGCAAGCCTACTTGGGGAATCGAGTCTTCGGCGGCAGAATGCCCTGAATGCCACTTCGGAGTACCAAATCATTCATCATAACTAACGCATAGCGCTGCAGGCAGCACTGTAGATAGAGCAGCGGGTAGTACAAATCGTGAGCCAGAGCAGACCATCTGGGGGAACATACGGGAGACGACGGGCTTCTGGTTCCAGATTCGGAATTCTGTTCACCCAGCCCTACAAGTAATACACGTCGCCGTATGTATGTGTGTATATATATATATAGAGAGAGAGAGAGAGAGAAAGAGGGAGAGTGAGACAGAGAGACATTAGATTTGTCTTCTTCGCTGGAGCTCTCTGGTGGTATGTGCAGGATCCCCCCCTCCGCAGCCCTCTGGAGGACAAACAGAAGCAAATAAGGCCAGCACTCCATCATCACCCCGAGGCTGATTCATTGGCTTACGCCACACAGCCGACCCCTTGGAGCGCAGCAATCGTCCCCCGCGTGGCCTGTCCGGACAGCCTGTGAGGCCCCTCTACACACGTTTCGGAGCCCTCTTGGGACCGTCCTGCCGTTCCCCTGGGCCGTTGCTATGGTTTTTGGGGCCTTCGTGGGGCGCCCGGAGGCCGTCGTGGAGTTTTTTGGAGAGTCTTTTGGTGTGCCAGAGGTCGATCTTGGAGGTTTACTGGGCCGTTGTGGGCCCCGTGGAAGCCCAAGAAGCGAATATGCTGAAAATGTACGCTTTCCCTTGGGAATGGGACGGTTTTTGCTTCTGGAGGCTTGCTTGGAGCGCCTCGTGGTCGCGTATGCAAGCGTCTTGGACTCCCATGAGGCTGTCTGGAGGCAATCTTGGGCGGTTTGGACCGAATCGTCCCCCGCGTGGGCCGTCCAGACAGCCTTTGGGAGCCCTCTTGGCCCGTTTTGGAGCCCTCTTGGGAACGTCCTGCGGCTTTCCTGGGCCGTTGCTATGGTTTCTGGAGCCTTCGTGGATCGCCCGGAAGCCGTCTTGGAGCTTTCTTGGGAGCCTCTTCGGGTGACAGGTGTTGATCTTGGAAGTTTGTTGGTCCGTTGTGGGCCTCGTGAAAGCCCAAGAAGCGAATATGCTGAAAATGTACGCTTTCCCTTTGGAATGGGGCGGTTTTTGCTTCTGGAGGCCTTCTTGGAGCGCCTCGTGGTCGCGTTGTCAAGCGTCTTGGACACCCATGGGGCCGTCTGGCGGCGATCTTGGGCGGTTTGGACCGAATCGTCCCCCGCGTGGGCCGTCCGGACAGCCTTTAGGGGCCCTCTTGCCCCGCGTTGGAGCCCTCGTGGGACCGTCCTGCGGCTTTCCTAAGCCGTTGCTATGGTTTCTGGGGCCCTCGTGTATCGCCCGGACGCCGTCTTGGAGCCTTTTTTGGAGCCTTTTGGGCTGGCGAGGGTCGATCTTGGAGGCTTCTTGGGCCTTTTTGCGCCGCGTGGAAGCCGAATGGGCGACTGTGGTGAACATGGACGTTTTACCAAGTGAATGTGGCGAATTTTGCTTCTGGAGGGCCTCTTTGGGGCGCCTCGTAATTTTGTTTCAAACCTCTTGGGGACTTACGGAGCCGCGTGGAGGCAATCTTCGGCGTTGTGGGACGATCTCTCGTCGATTCGTAGCTCTCTTGGACCGTTCCGGGAACCTCTGGAACCTTTTTAGCCTGTTTTGGGGCATTCTGGGGCTCCAAGTGTGCTGATGACGGATTTGCGCCCCCTTCCCCCCTCCCCCACCCCACCCACTCCAAACCGGCCGGACCAGCCTCCCGGGGGAGGGGTTTCGGGAGGGGGAAGCATCTCACACGCCGTGACCCCAAGGGGTCGGAGGATTTGGAGATCTCGGACCATGCTCGCTTCTCCTGGCTAAAGGAGTCCAGTGGTGGGCGGATGGGGCTTGCTGCTAAGGCTCACCAGCCCGAAAGGAGTAGGAAGAGGCGAAGGGAGGCGTGGAGGAGGACGGAGGAGGAGGGGGAGGTGGAGGAGGAGGAGGAGGAGGAGGAGGAGGAGGAGGAGGAGGAGGAGGAGGAGGAGAAGGAGGAGGAGGAGGAGGAGGAGGAGGAGGAGGAGGAGGGGTCAGAGGGGGGAGGGAGGAGCAGGAGGAGGAGAGGAGAGGAGAGGAGGAGGAGGAGGAGGAGCCGGACGAGGAGGAGGAGGAGCCGAGGAGGAGAGGAGGAGGAGGAGGAGGAGGAGGGGAGGAGGCGGAGGAGGAGGAGAGGAGGGGAGGAGAGGAGGAGGAAGGAGGAGGAGGGGAGGGAGGGGGAGGGGGGAGGGGGAGGGGGAGGGGGAGGGGGAGGGGGAGGGGGAGGGGAGGGGGAGGGGGAGAGGAGCAGGAGAGGAGGAGGAGGGGAGGGGGAGGAGGAGGAGGAGGAGAGAGGAGGAGGAGGAGGAGGATGAGGAGGAGGAGGAGGAGGAGGAGGAGGAGGAGGGAGAGGGGAGGAGGAGGAGGAGGAAGGAGGAGGAGGAAGGAGGAGGAAGAGGAGGAGAGGAGGAGGAGGAGGAGAGGATCAGGAGGATCAGGAGGATCAGGAGGAGGATCAGGAGGAGGAGATCGGGAGGAGGAGGAGGTGGAGGAGGAGGATGATGAGGAGGAGGGGAGGAGACGAGGAGGAGGAGAGGAGGGGGAGGAGGAGGATGAGGAGGAGGAGGACGAGGAGGAGGAGGGGAGGAGGAGGAGGAGGGAGGAGGAGGAGGAGGAGGAGGGCGAGGAGATGAGGAGGAGGGGGAGTGGGAAAGGGGGAGGGGGGAGGGGGAGGGGGAAGGGAGGGGGAGGAGGCGGACGGATGGGGTGTTAGGAGGAGGAGGAGGAGGAGGAGGAGGAGGAGGAGGAGGAGGAGGAGGCAGAGGCAGAAGTAGAAACAGAAACAGAAGCAGACACAGGAACCTAAGCAGAAGCATACGCATACACATAAGCATACGCAGAAGCAGCAGCATAAGCAGAAGCATACTAATACGAATCCTCATATTAATAAGATGAACAATACGCATACTAATAAGAAAAATACTAAGAAGAAGAGTAGTACGACAACTAATATTAATTCTCAGGAGAGGATGAGTAAGGAGTAGGGGGGGGGCGAGAGGGGTAGGATGAGGAGGAGGTGGAGTGAGGAGGAGGATGGGGGAGGAGCAGGAGGAGGAAGGAGGAGAGGAGGAGGAGGAGGAGGAGGAAGGAGGAAAGACGACGGGGGAAGGAGGAAGGAGGAGGGCAGGAAGGAGGAACAGGGGGAGGAGGAAAGGAGAAGGAGTAGGACGAGGAGGAGGAGGAGGAGGAGCAGGAGGAGGAGTAGGAAGAGGAGCAAGAGGAGGGTGAGGAAAAGAGACGTCCAGCTCCTCCTTCCGCCCCCAACCCCATCCCCTGATTGGAACCTCACCCCTCGCCGCCGCCGCACAGGTCGAGCGCGCCCAGTCCGCGAGGGGGCTCGAGCCCGCCGTGGCCCTGCTGACGCGCACGCAGGACGCGGCGCCGCGAGCGCGGCCCGCCAGGCGGCCGGCCTGCTAGCGGCCAGGGCGGGCGGCGTCGTGTTCGTCGTCAAGGGGCCTCCTGCTGCCTTCTCCTTCCTCCGCCCGCTTCCCTGCTCCTCTCTCCCTCCTCCCCCTCCCCCTCCTCCAACCTCCTCCACCCCCTCCCACTACTCCCTCGTCTCCTCCTCCTCCTCCTCCTCCTCCTCCTCCTCATCATCATCATCATCATCATCATCATCATCACCATCATCATCATCACCATCACCATCACCATGACCATGACCATGACCATGACAATGACCATCACTACAACCATCACCATCACGACCACCATCTCCATCACAACCGTCATCACCACCATCGCCGTCATCGTCAGCACCACCATGGTCACAACCAGCTTCAGCATAATCATCAGCAGCCCCCGTGTGCCAACACGAATGTGTATCCGCTTCTTTGCCCGATGTTTGCGGTCATTTGGATTCAGGCGTCCGGCCGTTTCGGAACATCGCTTCGGCGCTGCAGCTGCTGGCCCTTGGGTTTGCTCCCTCGACGCCGCGTCGCGGCGGAGCGTCAAATTCATCCTGGTGCCTCTCAGCGCCGGAGGAAAGCACAACCGGCCGAAGCGGAGGACCGCGGAGAGAGGTCGAGAGCGCGTGGCAGCGATCCGTACGACCCTCCGGGCCGGGAGGGCGGTTGCCACACCGGAAGAGTGTCCCTTCTCGCCGAACTCGCATGCGGACAATAGGCCTGGCAAGAGGTCCGAAAATGGCACGTTGCTTTTGAGATCGCCATTGGGATGTTGTTGATGCCGTTGGTCACATGCCGACGGTGCGCGCAAGATCGCGAGTGGCCACGTTGTCGGGGCCAACCCGGTCACCTGCCATGTCTGTGAAGAGGAGCGCGGTTTCGCATCGCTCTACGTCTTGGCCTACGAGCGTTGCGAGATCCCATGGTTCCACAACATCAGTTTGGTCGTCTCACTCGAGCGCGCTGCCAAGGCCACGGGCGGAGATGATCCGAGAACGCTCATCAACGCAATTATGGACCCCTTGCGCCTGCGCCGCTACACGCGTTCCAGGTGCCACGGAATCAAGCAACACAACGATGCGTTTTTTTTGATCTGGCCAGGGACTGATAGCCTCGAGTCTGGATGGTCCAACCTGAAGGACAAGCAGAAGCAGGGCTCGCCGTCGCAGCAGACCTAGTCTTTCGCGATCTGTCTGCTCCTGAGGCGACCGCCGCGGCCGACGCGCCCCGGGCGCGGCCGCCGCCGCTTCGCGGGCCCCCCGCCGACGGGCCCCCACCCCGAAGTATCGCAAGGGGCCCCGCGCTGCGGATGCAAGCTCTCTTGCCTCGCCGACCGAGCCTCGCGGCCAGTTGTCGCCGCGGCGCACCATCGCCACGCTGCGGCCCGCTGACTTCAGCTGCTTGGCGGCTTCTCCCTGCGCGACGGCGGCGACGCGCCTTTGTCCGCCGTCTGGGCCGCCTCCGCCGCCGTCGCCCGAACTCCCCATTGGGCCCCGCCGACCTCCTGATCAGTGCAGGCTGTTGCGCTCGACCAGGTCTTCTGCGGTCGGCTTCCGGCGTTCGAGCGCGCGCCCCAGCGGCCGTCGGGGCGCCCTCCTCCTCTGGCAGGGGCCTCGTGAGCGAAAAAGATCATCTCCGCCTGGCCCCCCTGGCCGTTCTCCTGGGGCTGCCCGATGTGCCTCGCCCCCCTGTCGCTGGCCATCTCCGCGCCTTCGCGGGGGGGTGGTGGCGCGGTGCCCCCGCGCGTCGGCGCCCGTCTCTGACCGCCCGCGGCCGCGCCCGTTGCGCGCGCGCGCCCCCCATGGCCTCTGGCGGCGGCGCCCCCCGGCACGTACACCTGCGCCAGCGCCGCGCAGAGCGCCCGCTCCGTCGGCTTGCGGGGGGGCGTCTTGCAGCGCGGGCACGCGCGCATGATGCGGTTCTCTCCGCCGAAGGCCCCCACGCAGTCCTGCAGGATAGCCTTGCAAATTTCTTCAACCGAACGTTCGGTGCCACTGGGCCGCCCTTGCGCTTCTCGAGCTCCGCCTTGGCGTGCTCGCGCGGCTGGAAGCAGACCCTCCGCCCGGCGGGGGGCCCGAGGGGGGCGCGCCCGCGGGGCGGCCTTGAAGCCCCGCAGACCGGCAGGCGCATTCCCACCATGACGACGCCAATCCGTTCGCGGGCCCCCCCTCCCGCCTCGGGCGGGGGGGGCCCTCGGCGGAAGCGCGCCTTCGCGAGGGGTGCTTGGGGGTCTGGACAAGGCTTCGCGGCCGCGCTGGCCCCTGTCGTTCTGTCAGGTTGTCGCGCGGTCGGGGCTGCCGCTACGTCGCGCGACCCGGGCGCTGGGTCTCCGCTTCCGCCGCCTGCCCGCACGCCCCCAGGATAGCCCCGAACCCCCGTCGACCGTCGGGCGCTGTCCCGGCCTGCCCTTCCTCGCGCCGCCTTCCCGCCAGGGCTGGGCCTGCGCGCTGCGCCGCTGGATTTCG